AGCAACAGCCACAGCCACAGCAACAGCAACAGCGGCAACAGCAACAACAACAAGAACTCGAACCAGGGCTAGAACTAGAACTAGACCTAGAACAATAACAGCAACAGCCGCAGCAGCAGCAAACAGCAACAACCGCAAACAGCAACAAGAACGAGAACGACAACGACAACAACAACAGCAGCAGCAGGAACGGCGTCAACAACAGCAAGAACAATAACAAGAAGTAGAATCAGAACTAGAATTAGAACTAGAGGAAGAAAAGCAACAGCAGCAGAGCAGCAACAGCGACAACAAAGACAACGACAAGGGCAAAGATAACAACAGCACCAACAACAACAACGACAACAGCAACAACCGCAACAACCAGAGCAGCAGCAGCGACATCAACAGCAACAGTAGCAACAACAACCGCGACCGCGACAGCGGCAGCACCAAACCAAGATCATCATCATCTTCACCATCATCATCATCACCATCAAGAACAGCGACCGCGACAACATCAGAGACAGAATCATCAGCGCAACAAGAACAACACTAGCGACAAGAAAAGGAAGAGGAAGAAGAGGAATATTAATAAGAAGAAGAAGAAGAAAAAGAGGAAACCAGCAAACAAGAACATGGACGCGAACACAAACAAATAGCCACAACCATGATAGTGACACACGGGCAGCAGGACACGCGCAACAGAAGAAGAACAAGAACGTAATAACAACCAAGCGCAACAGCACAAACAAGAACCATAATTCGACACCGACATCAGCACCAGCGCCTGACCAGCACCAGCAGCACAAGCGCCCGACCAGCACTAATTAGCAGCACCAGCAGCGCCCCCACCACCACCATCACTAGCGCCACCAGCACCACCAGCACCACCAGCACCACCAGCACCGCCAGCACCACCAGCACCACCAGCGCCGCCAGCGCCACCAGCACCGCCAGCACCACCAGCACCACCAGCACCACCAGCACCAGCACCACCAGCACCATCAGCACCACCAGCACCACCAGTTTTTGAGAACCGTTCTTTTTCAATGCTTCCTGTGTATTTGCGCCCGCGCTGAGGCGACGACAGCTGATGAACTTTGTGCTGGTGACCACGGCGGGCATCCCGGTGCTTGTGGCCCTGGGCTGCTACCTGTGGTACTTCGTGCCTCCTGTGGCCTCTGGCGGCGGTGGCGCACAGCTGTGCGGAGATTTGGATGGCAACCCCGTCACCCTGGAATCCTGGGTCAAGGGCCACAAGGACAACGACCGCGAGCTGGTGCAGGGTCTGAAGGGTGAGCCATACTACCTGATCTCCACCCCAGACAACATCAAGGACTTTGCCCTGCTGTCCGTTTGCACGCACCTTGGCTGCGTGGTGCCTTGGAGCAAGGCGGCAAACAAGTTCTGCTGCCCTTGCCATGGATCTCAGTACGACGAGAACGGCAAGGTCGTGCGCGGCCCCGCCCCGCTGTCCCTGGCTTTGGCCCACACCACCACTGTCAAGGGCAACTTGGCTCTTAGCCCCTGGACTGAGCAGGACTTCCGCACCAACGTGGACCCTTGGTGGAAGTGAGCGCTGCATAACGCAGACTGTGCAAGGCCGGAGCGGGTCTCTTGACTCGCAACGTTGACTGCCCCTAGAGCAGTAGATTCAGAGCCGGTGGAGCCATTTGGAAAACAACGGTTTACCGGAAGGGGGTGCTGCACTTGACCACCATGTCATGACAGCTTGATTCGGCAGACAGTGCTAAAAAATCGTGACATGAGTCCCCACAGACGTTGCATGGTGTCAAACCTTCCGCCAGCGTTCGTGGCTCAGCGATTCGCGCATTTTTTCTCACCATGGCTCAGAAACGCGTGATGAGGGGCGTTGTCACAGCCTGAGTCGGATTGAGATTTGACTTGTACACATTGCCAGCGCTTTAGTGGTTCCGAATCTAGCAGACAGGATGCGGGTTTGTTTGATTGCTCAGAAGAAGGAATAAGAAGCCTAGCATGACTTGTTTGCCCAACTTTATGCATGCCTCCAGGTGCTTCTGCTGGCTGCTTCGCTCATGGCTTGCGCCTTCGTGGGCCCCCAGGCACAGGAGGATGTTCCAGCCGGATAAGTGTTTTGAGCTGCCCATGAAAAACTCGACTTGGACATGTTGAATTTTGTTCGAACGATCGTGGGATGTCCAGGCACCGACCCCACGTGGCAACCTGAGCCGCGCAGCAGGCGAGTACACGGGCTTTGTGCCGGACATGCAGCAGCCCGGCCGCATTTGTTTTATTCAGCATGGCCCGGCAGGATGCAGTGTAGGCGGCATGGTTTTCAATGCGTCCTGTGTGTGTTTGTGCCCGTGCCGAGGCGACGACAGCTGATGAACTTTGTGCTGGTGACCACGGCGGGCATCCCGGTGCTTGTGGCCCTGGGCTGCTACCTGTGGTACTTCGTGCCTCCTGTGGCCTCTGGCGGCGGTGGCGCACAGCTGTGCGGAGATTTGGATGGCAACCCCGTCACCCTGGAATCCTGGGTCAAGGGCCACAAGGACAACGACCGCGAGCTGGTGCAGGGTCTGAAGGGTGAGCCATACTACCTGATCTCCACCCCAGACAACATCAAGGACTTTGCCCTGCTGTCCGTTTGCACGCACCTTGGCTGCGTGGTGCCTTGGAGCAAGGCGGCAAACAAGTTCTGCTGCCCTTGCCATGGATCTCAGTACGACGAGAACGGCAAGGTCGTGCGCGGCCCCGCCCCGCTGTCCCTGGCTTTGGCCCACACCACCACTGTCAAGGGCAACTTGGCTCTTAGCCCCTGGACTGAGCAGGACTTCCGCACCAACGTGGACCCTTGGTGGAAGTGAGCGCTGCATAACGCAGACTGTGCAAGGCCGGAGCGGGTCTCTTGACTCGCAACGTTGACTGCCCCTAGAGCAGTAGATTCAGAGCCGGTGGAGCCATTTGGAAAACAACGGTTTACCGGAAGGGGGTGTCCTGCACTTGACCACCGTGTCATGACAGCTTGATTCGGCAGACAGTGATATAAGCTCGTGACACGTTGCATGGTGTCAAACCTTCCGCCAGCGTTCGTGGCTCAGCGATTCGTGCAATTTTTCTCACCATGGCTCAGAAACGCGTGATGAGGGGCGTTGTCACAGCCTGAGTCGGATTGAGATTTGACTTGTACACATTGCCAGCGCTTTAGTGGTTCCGAATCTAGCAGACAGGATGCGGGTTTGTTTGATTGCTCAGAAGAAGGAATAAGAAGCCTAGCATGACTTGTTTGCTCAACTTTATGCATGCCTCCAGGTGCTTCTGCTGGCTGCTTCGCTCATGGCTTGCGCCTTCGTGGGCCCCCAGGCACAGGAGGATGTTGCAGCCGGATAAGTGTTTTGAGCTGCCCATGAAAAACTCGACTTGGACATGTTGAATTTTGTTCGAACGATCGTGGGATGTCCAGGCACCGACCCCACGTGGCAACCTGAGCCGCGCAGCAGGCGAGTACACGGGCTTTGTGCCGGACATGCAGCAGCCCGGCCGCATTTGTTTTATTCAGCATGGCCCGGCAGGATGCAGTGTAGGCGGCATGGTTTTCAATGCGTCCTGTGTGTGTTTGTGCCCGTGCCGAGGCGACGACAGCTGATGAACTTTGTGCTGGTGACCACGGCGGGCATCCCGGTGCTTGTGGCCCTGGGCTGCTACCTGTGGTACTTCGTGCCTCCTGTGGCCTCTGGCGGCGGTGGCGCACAGCTGTGCGGAGATTTGGATGGCAACCCCGTCACCCTGGAATCCTGGGTCAAGGGCCACAAGGACAACGACCGCGAGCTGGTGCAGGGTCTGAAGGGTGAGCCATACTACCTGATCTCCACCCCAGACAACATCAAGGACTTTGCCCTGCTGTCCGTTTGCACGCACCTTGGCTGCGTGGTGCCTTGGAGCAAGGCGGCAAACAAGTTCTGCTGCCCTTGCCATGGATCTCAGTACGACGAGAACGGCAAGGTCGTGCGCGGCCCCGCCCCGCTGTCCCTGGCTTTGGCCCACACCACCACTGTCAAGGGCAACTTGGCTCTTAGCCCCTGGACTGAGCAGGACTTCCGCACCAACGTGGACCCTTGGTGGAAGTGAGTGCCAAGAGGGGCGGAATCTGACCCACAACGCTTTCTCCGAGTAGGATGAAAAAGGAATGGGGATGCGGTTTCCATTGAGCATTTTGTAGGCTTTCATGTTGAATCGACATGCTGGGAAGCACACTTTTCACATGGGTGCTTTTTGTATTTCATTGCATTTTTCTTTTCCCGGGGGGATGGCGCCCGCTTTGCGTGCTTTAAAAGGGAAGCCAAGAGGAACGCCGTTTTTCGCCCTTCAGAGTCCAAATTCCTTCAAACTCAAAGGTTGATCCACACAGCCTGTTGTTTTTTCGCCCACTTGGCTTGCCAGTGCCTCCTTTTGCGAAACAAAAAAATCGGGCCGCGCAGTTGCGGATCACTCGGCTCAGTCGAAAGCAGACGCCATCCGCCATGGCGAAGACGCGGGCGACTCGTGGCCTGGCGCCGGCCTCAGTCGCTGGAAGTTGGGCCCTGCCCGGTTAAAGGACTCGGCATCTTGACATGTGGGTCAAAACCGTTTCGGGATCCCATTTTGGTAGCTGAATTCACCACCCATTTTAGTCTTAGAGGGGAAATTGGGATGTGGCCATATATGATGGGTCAAAATGAGACCACCAGGATATGGACCGCGGGTTTTAGTCCTTGGTTCCATTTACCAGGCTTCCATTTTTGGGGTTACCCTACTTTTGACCCGCACCCATATGAATCTGAAGTGGGTTACCTGTGGACACCAGAATTCGGCGGGGATTTGCGTGACTCCAAAGCCGCTTAGCAGTTGCCTATGTTTTTTCCTTTCGGAGCAGGGCCCCCAAGCTGGAGGTCGGGTTTTCCATTCCCAGTTCAAACCCGAACCCGCAAAACACACAAAAAAAACCGTTGAACCCAAACCCTGTGTCCCGTCTAACACCCCAACTTTCGGCGATTCGGGGGACCCACCAAACACACCGAGACCGCCCCGGTCGAGCGCGCGAGGCGCTGCTGCTGGCCGCCTCAGTGCTGGCCGCCTGCGCCTTTGTGGGCCCGCAGGCAGAGGGAGGGATCGCGGCGTTTTGTTGAAGGAGGGGCCGAGAAACTTTGGGGCGATCTTGGGCTCCAATCCTTTTCTTTTGGGAGGCGGGATTACATCATCCCCTGTTTTGGTTGAGATTGGGGGGTGTCCTTCTGGTTTTAGTGGGGAATCAGGCCACTTTTGGAGGGGGAACACACACATATTTGCGTTCTGTTGACCCCAGATTCATCAACCCCTGTTCAATCATGTGGGGGGTGGGCCCCTCCAAAAGTGGCCTAAATCCCTACTAAAACCAGACCTCTACCTTTTGGAGGCGATTCCGGGTTTAAATAAGCCCCTGCTTTGTTAATAGGGGCGCTCCCATGTTGACAATCCAGGGTTTAAGAGTCCGGGGTCAACATTCCCCCTCACCAAAAGGGACCCTCGCTGTTTGTTTGTTTGAACCCTTATGTTTTGAGCTGCCCATGAAAAACTCGACTTGGACATGTTGAATTTTGTTCGAACGATCGTGGGATGTCCAGGCACCGACCCCACGTGGCAACCTGAGCCGCGCAGCAGGCGAGTACACGGGCTTTGTGCCGGACATGCAGCAGCCCGGCCGCATTTGTTTTATTCAGCATGGCCCGGCAGGATGCAGTGTAGGCGGCATGGTTTTCAATGCGTCCTGTGTGTGTTTGTGCCCGTGCCGAGGCGACGACAGCTGATGAACTTTGTGCTGGTGACCACGGCGGGCATCCCGGTGCTTGTGGCCCTGGGCTGCTACCTGTGGTACTTCGTGCCTCCTGTGGCCTCTGGCGGCGGTGGCGCACAGCTGTGCGGAGATTTGGATGGCAACCCCGTCACCCTGGAATCCTGGGTCAAGGGCCACAAGGACAACGACCGCGAGCTGGTGCAGGGTCTGAAGGGTGAGCCATACTACCTGATCTCCACCCCAGACAACATCAAGGACTTTGCCCTGCTGTCCGTTTGCACGCACCTTGGCTGCGTGGTGCCTTGGAGCAAGGCGGCCAACAAGTTCTGCTGCCCTTGCCATGGATCTCAGTACGACGAGAACGGCAAGGTCGTGCGCGGCCCCGCCCCGCTGTCCCTGGCTTTGGCCCACACCACCACTGTCAAGGGCAACTTGGCTCTTAGCCCCTGGACTGAGCAGGACTTCCGCACCAACGTGGACCCTTGGTGGAAGTGAGCGCCGTAATCAGAGGACAGCTGCGCCTGCATGTCGTGGTGTGGAGCTGGAACCGTTTTGAGCTGACCATTTTCCCCTTTTTTCGGTGCTACCAGCTCTGTTCGGACTCTGAGTGAAAATCACAGTTACGAGACGCGGCGCTCAACGCTGCTGGGTAAAAAACTGCACTCTTGACTGTGCTGCATGTCGTGGTTTCTTTACATGTCTTGTTGATTTTGCTGATCAACAAGCCTTCCGTTTGACACGACACAACCGCACCAAGCTCTCCTTCCATAGGAAATCAAGTCTTGAAGAGATGTGGGCTTGTTTCATTTGGGAGGATGGCACCTGATGTTGCTCAAATTTGTTCCCATGTTTGGACAGCTTTGTTCTTTGGGTGAGCTGCGGTTTCCTTGGGGGGAAGGCCAGGCTTGCATCTGAGGTCGACCCGGACATGCTCTGTTTGGCAGAAGAGTCGGAGCGGGAGACATGTTCGCTGATTCCGCGCGTGGAAGGCAAAACCGATGGCGGACCGACCCCGAACCCTTTTTCTTTTTTCAAGGGGACCTGCCAAAGCGGAGGTTTTCCTTTTGGCTTCACTTCAAAAAGCAAGCCAAGCAGGTATACCCTCCAAAAAAGACACCCATTTCCATTGGTTTGAAGGTGGTGCAACTGGGGCGGCTTACCATGGCGAGGAATTTAAGCGTTGGAACCCCTTCAAAAGTGGTTGGTGGACGTTCGGATATCCGCCGCCAAGATTCTTGCCCATATTTCCAAAATGCAACTTACATTGCTTGGCAATATCTTTGTGACGCACTGACAATGTGTCGGTGCGTCTTTTCTAGAGGGATCCCCACCCCCAAAAAGACGGGGAAACAGAAAAAAAAGCCACAACGCATGTGATTTTTCTTTTGGGTTCCCTCAAAGACCTAAACAAAAAGGGGCCCCCGCAAAACAAACCACCCGTGTCCCAGGTGTGTCTCATGCTCGGTACCCTTTTCAAGGTTCCGGTTTCACCAAAAGGACAACCACTGGTTCGGAGTTTCCGGGGACACATGCCCATAGGACCCCCCCTGAAACAAATTGTTTTTTTCCTGTTTGTTTCCCTCAGGATACCCTTCGCCTCCAACTCAAGAGAGACATCCCATATTGGACTAAAAGGGGGTAGCCACAATGAATAAACCGAACAAGACAACAAACAACAAAAACACCTTGGACGAAAAGGGGGTACCAAGACCATTGCTTTCCCTTCAAGACCGAAGAACACGAAGAGACGTACCAGCTCGACAATACACGAATAAGGTGGGATGGAGGGTTGAACCAAAAGACACAAAAAGTGAATAAGGCGACCAGACCACAGGACTCCCCAAGGACAAAATCTTCTTTCCATTTTTCCCCCCCCCCCCCGCAGGACGTCGTGGCGGAGCTGGGCCCCGGGGACAGCTTCGGGGAGCTGCCCGGGGCCTTTGCATCGAGTCGAAGGCGTCGAGTGGAAGGCGGCCGAGCCACGAGCCCCGAGGGGTTGCTGATCGGGTTTCAAGGGACACCAGCAGGAAAACCAAATTTTCTAAGGTCTTTAAAGAAGAGACAACAACGTAATGGGTCTGTCAAACCTTTTTTCTTGAGGGCCGCTTCCCCCCTTTGTTGGGCAACCAACAGGGCTTGGCTCAAACATGTCGAGCCAGGGGACCGCAGGCTTTTGTCTATTTGTCCATTCACTAGAGCTCCGTTTGGGGGCCACACCCCTATGGAGCCGTGTTTTTTTGAGGGCCTTTTTGGATAGCTTTAAAGGCTAGCAAACTGGCGCGGCTGCCTTTCTTTTTTCCAAGTTGTTTTCTTTCTTTCTTTCTTTCTTTCTTTCTTTCCTTCTTTCTTCTTTTCTTCTTTTCTTCTTTCTTTTCTTTCTTTCTTTTCTTTCTTTCTTTTCTTTCTTTCTTTCTTTCTTTCTTTCTTTCTTTCTTTCTTTTGCTTCTTCGCTCTTTCGCCCTTTCGCCCTTTGGCTCTTTCGGCTCTTTTGGCTCTTTCGGCCAGTTGCCTAGGGGTGGGGGGGGACACGCACAGAGAGACTAAATTTGAGTCAGTACCTGAAGCGTGGCGATGCAACTTGATGTTCGGGGCAAGTCAGGCTGAGACTTGCCACTGTTGCCACTCGAGGTCGCTGATCTACAATGCCTACCGCGAGGTGGGCAAGCACATTTTGCGGAGTGAAGACTTGATCTGTTTGGTTGGCTCTCCTCGACGGCTGGGTTTTTCTGATGTGAGGCTGCGGTTTCTCCAGGTGTTTCTTTCTTGTGTTAGGTGGGGCTGTCCAAAATAGGTGCCTTCCCCTTTTGGAGCGTTTCAATCCAAACCAAGAAGCATCGGCAAGCCCATTTGTTTGGGGCTCCAACTTTGCAGAGCTCCCTATGTTCTGATGCATGTCTTGTTGGGATGGCCATTCTTTTGTCGTTTTTTCCCAGCTGGGACACCGATTCGGCAAATCTGCTCTTGCCCTCTTTTGAGGGGACACCGCCAAAAACCACCGCCATGAAAGGTACCCTCCCTCCAATCATGGAAGCTGACAGGGTTTTGGAAGACTCTTCTGGGCAACCCAGTTGTCCACTTCCGCGATTGTTGGACAAAAACACCACCGCCATGAAAGGCACCCTCCCTCAAAATATCAAACCCCAAAATCAGACAAAAAAGTGCCAGTCCCACAGTCCCAGTCTCCAAACACCAACCGCCATGAAAGGTAAGACAGGAGGACCCGAGCCCCCCGTCTCGTCTCGTCTCCTCGTCTCGAGGCCACCTTCACGGCCGTGCAGGACTCCGAGGCACTGGGCGTTCCGGGGCGCACGGACACGGCGGACGTTGGTTGCTGGGGCAACGGGGGGAGAAAGCGGGGCGAAACGGAAAACGCGTCAGAAGGGTCCTGCGTAGAAGTAAGGGGGGTGGGTCGCTTCAAATCGTTTGTTTTCGTGATTTTGGTCAAGACGACTGGTGGGTAAAGAAAGGAAGGGGGAGGTACTTTGACGGAACTCGCGTTAAGTCATAATGAAGACAGAGGAGCAATTCGACGGCCAAGGGATGGGAAGGAGAAGCAAGTTGCCCCCATCGCAGGTCTACGTGATCTCCCGCAGGCGCGAGGATTTGAGGAGTTGGGGATTTCGTGTTGGTTGTGTTGCTGGTCTTTGTTGGGAGCCGGGTTGCTGGGTTGCTGGTTTCGCGCTGCGTACGGTGCATGCTCTTAAAGTCAGGCTCCTTGGAATTGGAGCGTAAATTGGGTGGTAAGTTTCATCAGCGAAATATCAGCTCGAGATCGCTAGCAAACAAGTACCATGAGGGAAAGATGAAAAGGACTTTGGAAAGAGAGTTCAAAGAGCTTGAACGCAGGGAAACTCCGCAGCTGAGTTTTGGAACGAGATTTGGGCAACGGAGCGGATGCGACAAGCAACGGGACGCCATCATGGCAGTCGCCATCGAGTGGCAGTTGCCAGGCACTTCAAGGCTCACTTCAACCGCCTGGGCCATCACTTCAAGGACCAACGTGGGCAATGGTCGCCCCTCTTCCATGTGAGCCACGTCCTCAAAACCAGGGTAGATGGTTAGGTTAGTAAGGGACGAAGCTGCGGAGATCCGCCTTCTTAATCCTGCACATGGTTCTGGGTTTTCCACAGGGGTGTGGTTTTCTGGGGGCATTGGTCAAAATGAGACTACCAGGACATGGACCGCAGGTTTTAGTCCTTGGTTCCATTTGCCAGGGCAAGCCTTTTTGGGGTTACCCTATTTTGGACCCACAGCCATGTGCTTCCTGGTTGAAGGTTAGACCAATCCCCCAAGATGGCGCTTCGGTCTTCGTCCCTTCTCGCTTTTTACCCACAAAAACCAGGTAGCTCCGAAAGAGCCACTGGGACGGGGCCAGTTCCTGGGGCTTGATTTCCTCGCTTGCCCTCCCGTTGGAACCGAGTGGCAGGACTACTGCGCCTTGTTGGACGAGGTCGGGGCTCGAGTCGCTCAGTTTGCCAACGCCTGGCGCGGGCGACAAATTCGTTCGATTGACCCGACAGAATTGCAACCCAACCAGGGCCAAAACGACCCGCCCAGGCCCTTTTCGGGGGGCTTTGCACTCAGATTTTTTCGCGCTGTGCGGGCGAGGTGCCGGCACTCTGGCCGCTCTTGCAAGCGGAGCGCCCGGCCGCCCGGAGTGGGCTGAGCGTGGGGAGGTGGGCGTGGCTCGTCCTTGGTTGAGTTGGTACCCCTGTTTGCGGTTTTTGGAAGGGAGACCAAAGAGGAAGAAACCCGTCTCGACCTTCATTTTTGGGGTCCGGTGCAATCCTAATCTCATTTTGAATTCCATTTCTTGGGTCCAAATCCGTTTTCAGAACCGCACTTCTGTCAGTGTTGACCAGTCGCCGAGGCTGGGAGCTGGCGTGCAACGCCTTGGGCCTCTTCACCTTCAGGCGCTTCGTGTCGGGCTTCGACTGGCCGTGGAAATCGGCGTTTTGGTTGGGATGGGAAAACCGGTTTGGAAATCCTTCCGAAGGGTCCGAATCCTGAAAATGGGACCCCATATCTGACCGAGTCCAGTCAGGTGTACTTCTACTGCAAAAAGTTAGAGGTCAGGCAACGAGGCACAACACCTTTGCTAGATGGAGCACCGTGGCCCAAGATCTTCCAGCATGCCACCCTGCAGAAACTGCAACGGGACGCGGGACGCGTGCGACTTGACCGGGGGTTAGACAGGCCCGGCCAGCGAATCATCACGCAGGGCCTGCCGCGCAAGGCAGTTCTGTCGGCCGTGTTGGCGGCAATGTGGGTTGTGGCCAGACCCGCAAATGCAGGGGGGTCCTGTCAAGCGCCTCAAGAAGTTCTGTTGGGTCCTGGGACCACTCTTCTAGAGCTGCTACTTGGGGGTGTCTTTTTATGGCGTGCACCCTTTGTGGAATTGGTTTCAAGAGAGACCAAAGAGAAAACAAAAAAACACGCAGCCATGTTTTGGGGGGGACGGATTCCTTTTTTTGAGACACACTTTTTCTGGACGGTTTCAGACAACCACCACCAAAGTTGGGTGGGTTCAAAAAAATGCCCAGGAACCACCGGGACCGTCGCGTTAACCTCAAAAACGGTGAGACACACTTTCGCAGTCTGCCTTGTGGTACATCATCTTCTCCGGCAGCTGCGTCCGCGGCCTCAGCGCCGGCTCTGGCCGACGGGAACCGACGACGAGACGACCTCGTCACTGAGGTTGTCTCGGCGTCACAGACCGGTGCCGATGGCAAGGCGGGGTTCCCAAGAGGGCTCCTTGTGTCTTTTCCCCAGTTAAAAGAGGGCGCGCGGTGCTTTTCTTTGTGCTTCCAACAGATCCACCCGCTTTTCCATAGGCACAGGGGTGCTCCGGCTGCGCCCTTAGAATTGGGCGTTCCTTTCCCTTTTGGAGAGTCATTTTTTTCAGAGTTGTTTTTTGAGAGTTTGTTGTTTGTGTGTTTCCTTGTTTGTCAGGTAAGCCCTACTTGGTGGTTTGGATTGGCTTGAACCATGCAAACCACCAAAACCACCAAACCCAAAACCACCAAAAACCACCAAACCCAAAACCACCAAAAACCACCAAAAACCACCAAAAACCACCAAAACCACCAAAACCACCAAAAACCACCAAAACCCACCAAAACCCACCAAAACCACCAAACACCACAAAAAACACAAAAACAACCAAAACCACCAAAACCACCAAAGCCACCAAACCACCAAACCACCCCTAACCCACATTTGTTGGCTAAATGGCACACTACCCCCTAACCACCAAGTCACAAATCTAAACCACCTAGAGGGAATCCGATGTGTTTGGTTGGTTGACTTCTTGTTGGACGTCAAAAGTCAGGAGGCAAACCACCCCTTTGTTTACAGGAACATCTAAAGGAAACCGGCCCCAAAAAACCATCTTTTTTCAAGGGGAAGACACCCGCACCGTTTTTCCCCGGAAAACTAAGGGGTCTGAGCCCAAGCCTTGGCTCGGGGAAGCTCGGCGGAGGAAGTGACGGAGGTGTTGTCCGAGCTCCGCCGCCCGGGCCGGGAACCCAAAGCCGGAGCCGCAGGCTTCTCGAAAACCCTCCTCAAAGCCCCGCCCGATGCTTCGCGGTTTTTCTCGGCCGTTTTTGTCTAATTTTTTGTTTTAAGGGAAACCAACAGGAAACACGCTTGAAGGTTTGACCCCCACGGTTTGCCTTTCAAGACACACCCATTTTGAACAGAAAGGGAGAAACCCAACCATACATGGGTGTGGATAGCCGACTTTTCAACTCTTTCACATTTTCCTGGGTGACCATTTTCCTTCCCCCATGGCTTGGGATTGGTTTTCCCAGTCCAGCGACCGGGGGCTGACCTGTTGGCTTTCCACTTGGTCCATGTTCGGTTCCCAGCGACACACATCTCCTTTCCTTTCCAGATCTCTAAGCACCGGAGTTTTCCTTGCCCTTTTCAAACATGCGGGGTTTTCGAAAAAGGCAAACCCGCCCCCCCATAATTTTCCGAGGCCACTTTTCAAGTTCCAGGGTTCCGAACCCGGCGGGCGACGCCGAGCGGTCGGAGGCCACTTCGGCGAGCGGTCGCTGCTGCGGGGTGGGGACGTGGCCGTGCCGGAGGCCGGGACGGAGCAGCCCGGCGAGGGCGGCCGCGGGGCTTTTTATGCCGGGATCTTTGTTTGGAAAGTCGTTTTCTTTTTCTTCTTCTTCAGAATCCCAAGGCCCACTGCAAGTTGTTTTTTATCTTCTTCTTTGTTTTCCTTTCTCTTTTTTCTCTCTCCTTTTTTTCTGCTAAAAAGAGAAGAAGCCCAATGGTTGATTTTTAAGAAACCAATCCAATGCTCCTTTTTTTAAAACGGAATCAAGGGTTGTGGAAGTCCGACCTTCGAAGGGAACCGCTGTGAGGTGACCATCGACGCGGGCTCCGACGGCCTGGTTTGCTCCGGCCTCAGCGCGTCCACGCGAACGGAGGGAGGCCTTCGAATGTCCCCAAAGGGCGTCGTTGTTCGGGGGGCCCCCGCATTCCTCTTTTTGCTTTCTCGGCGAAACCAACTGGAAACCCGATTTCGCCATTTTGTGGGGGTGGGAGTTTCCTGTCTTGTGACACACCCAGGCTCTTGCATTCCAGAAGCCGAACGAGTTGGTTTGAAGGGACACGGGAGGGACATCAAATGACCGAGTATTCCACCAGCTGAAAGGAGAAGGACCGACCGTCGCAAGCCAGGCCTGGCGTTTGAGGGCCAGGCCAGTGGGGCCGGTGGGCTCGGGGCTCGAAGCCCCCCAAAAAACAGATGTCATTTCGGTTTTCCTTTCGGTTCCCCTTAAATAATTCTAACATGGGGAGACCCACCTCCCGGAAAATGGGAGTTGCACCCAATGCAAAGGCCAAATGGCACTGTGTCAAGGACCCCTTGTGGTGGGTGATTATGTGAATGACGGAGCCAAGTGTTGTCAGGGAGGCAACGGCTTCTCCCTTCGAATTCGCGGGGAGCTATTGGCCGACGGCCAGGCCATCCGCGTATTGCTCGAGAGCCTCATCCGCGGTGGAGCGTTTGGGGATGGCGCTGAGGAGCGGCTGACGGCATCCGACTGACCCACCGCGCATTGTGTCACGCTTTAAGCAGCGCTTGGACGCGAGTTCCGCATCCATCAACTGCCACGCGTGATCAAGATGTCTCCAGAATTTTGCTCACCCTACAGGGACCCTACACATCAATTTCGTCAAACCGGCTTTTGGACAAGTGGTGGCTGATATGGGTGTCGTTGTTCGCGGACCCTGCAAAAGGTTGCAGCTCAAAAAAAGGGCAAACCCACATGCTTTGGCTGCAGGCGCTGCTTCCGAATGTGAACAGCCTCACCTCTGCAGTCCTTGCCTCGGTTGGGAAGTGCATGATGCTACGGGGGACATGAGGCCCCGAGAACGCTTGGGAGCGGTATGGGCCTTGTTTCGAGGGTGCCAACTTTTGCACGTGGTTTTTAGAGGGAAACCCTTTGCAAACCGAAGCACCCAGCCCGGTTCGGGGACTGGTTGGTGGGCGTGGTTGGCCGTGCTGGGCGGCCGCATTTTCAGCATCCCCAGCACCGGCCTCGCTCGGAGGGCTCTTTTTTTTAAATGAGGGCGGGTGTTGGGCTTGTTTGGGGTTCATTTAGGCTTTGCAAAGGGCTGATGTCCAGCTGTTGGGAGGGTAAAAGGTTGACTTTGAGTCGGTTGGTTTGGGTTGGCTGGAGCTGAGGTGTGCGACTAGCCTTTGGGCTGCTTCAGGGATGTGGTTGTGCAATTTTTGGGCTGCTTGGGGATTGGTTATGGGGCGTTGCCCCAAACCATCCAAACCAGCCCAACACTTGCGCAACCACATCCCTAAAGCAGCCCAAAAGCTAGTGCAAAAACTGGGCTGCACACCTCGCGTAAATCAGCTCCAAGCCAACCCAAACCGACTCAAAGTCAACCTTTAACCCTCCCAACAGCTGGATATCAGCCCTTTACAAAGCCGAAATGAACCCCAAACAAGCCCAAGACTCGCCCTCAGTAGGTAAGACCTCAGCAAGCCCAACACAATGGGCAGCCCTAGTCCGAGCGGTGATGCTGGGGATGCTGGGGATGCGGCCCACCAACCCACCCCCAGCCTGGCCAACTAGGCCCGTCAGAGAATACCGCCTGTTGGGGCACCTGAGAGCGAAGCAAGGGTTCCCAGCCAACCTCTTCAAGCCACATGCGGGAGGCCTTTTGCTGAGGCGGGGAATCAATTGACACACACGCGTACGATCGCTGAGCTTCTAGGAATATGAGCTGGCCAAGTTTGGACGCAGCCGAAACCGAGTGCACTCGCTGCAGGAGCCTCGCGAGCGAAGTGTTTACATTTTGTCGCATTTTCTGCTAGAGCCCCAATCATGTGTACCTGTGGTTTGAGCCTGGTCACACACACACACACACATGTGTGTCGTCAGTCGCCGTATTTTCCTCTTTGCATAGCTATGAAGTTTGGGGACTGCGACCTTGAACGAATTCTTGCCAAAGTGAAGCCAGGAGATCCCATGGGCCCGGCTGAAGAAGGCCAGCGCTGAGTGTCGACGCTGACGTGAGCCAAATCCTTTGACCCCGGAGAATTGGAGGGGGAATAGGAGCTCCCCTGCAAGGAAAGATGGCAAACACAGCCATTCTTGGTCTCGAGGTGTGCTTGTTGGGCAGTGGTGGCTTTGCCAACGTCTACCTCATGGAAGATGAGGTCACCAACAAGAGGCGGAGCGGCGAGCAAACGAAACCGGCTGGTGGTGTCACATACAGCAGGAGGGTCTGTGTCTGTGTCTAGAGACAGTCTTTGGGTGTGTGTGTGTGTCTAATATATATATATATATGTATATATATATATATGTATGTATATATATATATATATATTTATATTATATGATACATTATTCGTTTTTTTTTTTTTTTTTTTTTTTTTTTTTCTGGGCACCTGTTTTTGGTGGGGGGATTGAAAAGGAACACCACCCATGTTGAGGGTCCAAATGCCGATGAGACAAAGCCGCAGGAAACCGAAGGTGCCCGAAGCCCATCTGCTGCCCATGAGCATTTTTTGAAGACTTTTCCCGTATGGACTAAGAAAAGTGCAGCATAAAAAGACGTGCATTTCTTGACGGCTTCGTCTCAGTTTTTTTCCATTCCAAAAGTGAGAGCGATGGCTTTGCTTGGAAAACGGATGGTTCTGAGTTGCGAAATACGGACAACTCCGAAGAGATGCATGGGCGATTCCTGCCGAGTCCTCTGGGAGAAGAGTACAGGTTACAGCCAATTTCACATTTTGGTTATAACTAAGCCGCATTTTTCGGGGGGCGCCAAAGCAAACGCCGCCCGCATTCGTCGGCTCGGGCGGCATGTGACAGGTACGCCATGAAGTGCCTCTCCAAGGCCTGGGCTCTTTCGAGCCGAATGGAGCCGAATGGGAAGGAGCTCGGGCGAATGGCACGGCGGCGCAAGTCTCTTTTTTTTTCTGCTTCCTCTATTTTCAGACATTTTGTTTCTTCAGTAGAATCTCTGGTTGAAGGCTCACAGGGAGAAAAGGAACTGAGCAGCTTTGTTTTCTTGCTTTGTGGTGCGAAACCACCCCTTTGGTTCACAACAAGGGGCCCGCATTAATTTTCTTCTTCGCCATGTCGATCAGGGCCACGTCGAGAAGCACGACGCTGTGCGACAGGCGCGAACAGTGCCCAACTCGTACGCCTTTGTAAGGCCTTTTGTCTCATTCTGTCTTCGCATGTTGAAAAAGGGATTGGTCTTTGTACCGCCTTTGACACAGCACATTGAGACAATGAGCTCGCCAGGAGGCATCCAGGTAGTAGGAACCCACGGATTGATCAACCCCTGATGGGTTCTGCTTGGATCTGGGGTCGTTACAAACTGCGGTGACGAGACGCTCGCGACTCGCAGGTGTGCTGGGAGCGGGAAATGCTGATGCTGGCCAATCCGGCGAGACATTTTCAGCGGATTGGGTTCTCGTGTCTTTGTTCGAGGGTATCCCGTTTTTGAGGTGGTCTTAAGGGGGAACAAAAGGAACACCACCACCAATGTTGAGGGTCCCTTCTTTTCAGACACACCCAAATATCCCTCCCTTGCCAAGGCGGACCACTGCAGCCCAAAACCCCGACGTGGTTCCCCTACAATGGTCGTCTGGACGTATCATGACTGCCACTCGATCGCCAGGTGGAAAGCCCCTTCGTGATTCGGCTGGTGCGATCCTACAAGGACGATGTTCTAGGGGTTGATTGCTTTTCCATTCTTTTCAACCATCGTTCTTTTTTAAAAACCAGCGGTTTCCCCTGGGGTTCTGATGGTTTTCTGGAAAGAAGGATCCCTGGAAAGAATGGGGAAGTGTCCCCTAGAAATGTGTCATGTTGATTTCGGATCGCCATCCTCCTAATTGGGGTGGGGGGTGTGGGCCTCTGCAATAGAGTTGAATCCCCCCTGCTCAAAGGGGAGATTTGTTCGATTCGTCAAGTTTCTTACCACTGCGGCTGATGGATGTGACAGTCAAGCAACGCACTGTATTGAAACTTCCATTGGTTTGACTTTCGGCTGTGCCCTGTGGCCGAAAGTCGAGGATGACGAGTTCCTCTACATGCTCCTGGAGGCCAAAGGGGTTCAATCGCTTGCGATGTGCTCGGCATGTCCAACCAACTCGCTTTGGAAGTGATCCATTGCTGGTACTCAGTAGGGGAGTCAGGGAATGAATCTGGAGATTGCTGAAAAAAACAAACCGCATGGATGGCTTTTTCCTCGCGGTCGTGAGCCATTTCTCAGACCCCGAGCGCATCTCTCGCGGAAAGAATTGCAGCAGCTTTGGCGCCAGGCAGCACTGGGTGGCAGCCTCTATGAGGCGGGAGCTGGGGCCAAAAATCTGGAAAGGCCTCTGAAAACGAATTTTATGGAACCATCCCTTAAAAGTAGTCAACAGGGGTTGGCGGACCTGATTCTGATGTCCATTCAAGTTCCCGAAGTCTTTTTTGTGGTCCTTGAGGCAAATCCATCCGCCTGGGATTCCGTTGCGAGATATGCCCAAGCTGCGTCCTTTACTCTCTTTGGGGCTGCGTGCCGGGTGCATCGACGGGTGTGACTGAACCGAACGGAACGAGCGGTGCCAGTTGATGACGCAGAAGCCGGAGGCGCAGCCGAAGAAGACGCTGGATGTCCGTGCGTCGTTGAGCCGCAAGCAAAATGGGCGCCGCAACGGGGTCTTCCGTTTGGTTTCCCGATGGTTTCTCACCGACCTGAAAATGGCATCAACTGAAAAGGAACAGCCACATGGAAGCTGGAAGCTTTCTGGACATGTCAGATTTGGACCCGTTGGGAGGATGTCGATATGTGCCTTTGTAGCAAATCATTTATTCCCCCTCTCCCATGGGAGAGTCGGTTTTGGTCGTCTCGCTCGGCTGGCAACTTCGCTTCGACGTCGCACGGCTGCCGCAGGTCTTTTGTGACGATCAGCCTCGCGGCGCCTCCTCGGCTTTCTATGCGGGGTGTATCATCCAGGCCCTCGAGCACTTGCACGACAGGCGGGTGGTTTGGGCTCGGAGTGAGAGCATGATAATGTGATCCTGAGCGTCCCCCTGAGATCAGCATAGAGAATGCCGTGGTTGAGAGGACATCAGACTTCGCTGGGGATAAAAAGGTCCACCAGCCACTTTTCATGGAGCGGGAAAGGTTTGTGCTCGTGGATTCTGTAGTTCCGACGCCAGGCGTATCGTGTACAGGGACTTGAAGCCGGAGAATGCGCGCCGTCGACAACGAGAGACGGATCACGGTTCCCCTTTGAACATGCGGGGCAACCCTTGGTGGTGCAGATTGGTGGTGGGATTTGAGCCGATGGATCTTGTGAGTACATGGGAACCCGCTAGCCTCCAAACCATCCAAACCAATCACAGGGAAGCTGACATTCCCAACCTGCCTCACGGTCCTCACTGAGATGGGTGTGAAGTGTTGGGAGACTCATAAGACACAATCAAACCTGGATCGAAGTTCGGACCATCCATAGCGGCGATTCGCCTGGATTCTGTCGCTTTTGGGTCGACTCCGTTGAGGTCAGAGTATCAGAGTTTGATTGTAAGTCCCATGTCGTGTTGTGTCTTGTGGGAGATGAATTCTTTTTGTTTTGCGGAGCTTTCACCAGGTGATGTTGGATGAGCGCGGCTACGGCAAACTTTGTGACATGGGGTGCGGCTCTCAACGCCGGCAGTCTGGTCTTCTTGGCCCCCACACTTGCCGGACTTCTTGTTCTTTGCCATCAGCTGGGTGAAAAACGACGCATTCAGATTGTTTTTTGGCAAATCCGCTGAGCGAAACTCGGAAACGACACGTTTAGATTGTACCAATCCACTGAGAGAGGCTGGGTGTCGAATGGGGGTGAGGTCCACTGAGAGAGATGGACGGATCGTGAGGTTTGCGCGGTTCGTGATCTCCAAGACCAACACCTTGGCCGGCACACCCGAGTACATGGCACCGGAGGCCGCAAAACAGACGATCGATGCTCAGGGGCGACGCTACTTCCGTCTATATCAGGGTTCCAGTGTTGGATTACCCAACCATTTCAGGGACGCAAGGTTTCTAGCTCCCCCCCTTGGTGCGCAGTCAGAATCATGTTGCATCAACACCGGCGAGGTGTCTGACCAACATAGACCGCCAAGCTTGTGTGTGTTCTCCGTGGCTGATGGGTAATTAAAAGGGCATGCCCGAGCAAACTTGGGGAGTGACCCATGGGTTCATCAGCCCGTTGGTGCGCATTCGGACAGTAGGGGAGAAGGACCTCTCCGCTTGTGATCCTGAAGGCCCGCAAGCTCAGGGGGGGAGAGGGGAGGCTTCCAAGAGCCGCAGGTCATCGACTTTCCGCATGCGCACGATACAAATTGCGACTGGCGGCTTCCTTAACGGAGCCGGAGTGCCGGAGGGTCATGTTGCAAACCCCGGGAAGGTTTTTGGGCAACATATTGATCAGGGTAAGTGGAAGGTCCTTGAGCCTATGGAGTATTCGAGCACCCATGAATTCTGCATCAGCCATCGGGGCCACTGTGAAGGGTCAGTGTCAGCGTGGCCAGAAAGCAAGCCAAGTGATTCACGAAAGCCAGGACATACATGGCAGGTTGTTGAACAAAAAGGGGGTTATCCCGTTATCCCCTTAGGGGCCGGACAAAAGGTATCTTCAACACTGCCGCGGTTCGTGGTGTGCACGCATGTCAAGCGATCGAGGTGGTCCCTGGGCGTCCTCACTTACGAGATGAACGCGGGGCATCCGCCGTGGGATGACGAGGGCATCGCGGATCTCTTCGGGACTCGCGGGCAAGAGAGAGAGAGAGATTGATGGCGTCCGAACGTGCCGGACGTGTCCGGTCCGCCTGCTGTCCTTGAACCACCCAACCCGCGGCCTCGCCTCCACTTGGGCGCTCGAAGTCGCGTCCAGTCGCGCCGTCCAGTCGTCGCAGGAAGCTGCTGGCCATCCGCCGCAGCCAGGAGAAGGGAGAGCCGAGATACCCCTTCAGCTGCCGCGGCCCCAGATTCTGACCGGACGCAGATCGGGGAAGCAGAAAAACGCATTTTTTTCGCCACAAGGGGCTGCACAAAGTTAATCAGGTAAAGAGCGCTTCAACAAAGGCTTTCAGCACGCGGTAAGCAGCCATATCTCTATCTCTCTCTATCTCTAAATGCATACACCCTGACGGAAGGTTCCGGAAGATAAGTGTCGTCTAGCGGGTTGCAGGTGCCAGATGTGACCAGAGTTTCTAACTTTGACACGTGGCTGGAAGGTTTCGCTCAATGAGGTCCGGCTCTGATCCGGAACTTCATTTCGAAACTTTTGCCGGGCCCTGAGCTCCTTCGCGCAGCGCATGCGCATGCGCCTATGGCAACGCGCAGATGTGGCGGCGGCGCTGACTTTTTTTTCTCAGCCTGGAGGGGGTGTCTAGAGTCGCATGGCCAAAGTCGAAGCCGCTTCCCTGTTTCAGCCAGGCCCCTGAAAGCGGTTCGAGTGTCCTTTCACTGGCTACGTTGCCATGGAACCTATGAACGGGTCCATGTGAAAGGAAAATGGTCTGGGACCAATTCCTCAGTCTGGACTGGTTCGGATTTGGATTTGAAGACCTGGATGGCGCGTACAGGAGGTTTAACATGAGTGCTGCAATGGTTCTGAACCCTATTCTCTAGGGGTTGTTGTATTACACACACACACACCCTCGAGAAATGGCCCACAATGGTCCAAAATAACATAATTTTATCCCGGAAATATGCCAAAATGGGGTCATTTCCCGGCGTCATCCCAGGGCGTAATACAAAAACCCTTAGATATTCTTTATGACCCAAAGGGTAGCAATGGGTTATATGGCTGTGGGTCAAAAATAGGGTAACCTGAAAATGGCTTGCCCGTTCGGTAAATGGCTTGCCAAGGTCTAAAACCTGCTGTCCATATCCTGGTGCCTTAGTTTTGATTCATACCCATGGCTGTGGTTCAAGACCAATGGTCCCATTTTGGGAGGTGAATTCACCACCCATTTTAGCACCTATTTTATGGATTGGTCCCATTGGTTGATGTTCGCTGGGGGCATGGCCTTTTGACCCATACCCGTCTTGACCCAAGCCATTGGTTTCACCGAAAGCTCGGCCCATGGCCCATGGCCGAGGCAGAAGTTGCCCCGGCGCCTGGGTTCCCGAAAGGGAGCCAAGGAGCTGCGGCAAGGGCGCCCGGGGGTGGGGGTCTGGGGTGTGTGGGGTGTGTGGGGTAGACAGTTTTTTTTGTGGGGGGAAGCCATAAGTCCATAGGCTACATAGGGGCTGGGTCTGGGGTTTTGGTAGGCTACATAGGTGTCCCACATTTGGCTTCGGGTTTCCTGTGGTCCAGTGGTGTTTGTTTGTGCCTTTCGCAACGGAGAATCGAGGTTTCGATGCCTGGTTGAGCTGGTTTCATAGTGCAGGCCACCGGTTTTTTCTCAAGATATCTATGGCAACCGCCGGGTTTCCGTCCTTATCCGCCGACCGGATGAGTCTTGCGGTCTCTGGCTTGTTCTTGGGGTTTGGCGGCTCAGGGAGCACGTCTTCTTCCAGAAGATGGGATTCGACTTTCAGGCGGGATCCGAGATCCGAGATCCCCCCACCCCCAGGGTCTGCAGCCTGCGGAATGGAGAATGGGACGTCGCAGATGAACCTGACAAGCAAGCCGGGCGGCTTTCCGCGGTGACGACAAGTTGCAAGTTGCTAAACAGCGAGGCAACCACCACAGTTGAATACAGCGAACAGAGCAATTGATAGCATGGCAAGGTGTTGGCCAGTTGGGGAGATCATGTGGGCGTGGGTCAAAACTAAGCCACCAGGGGACCGCAGGTTTCAGTCTTTGTTTCCATTTACCACGTTTCCATTCTGTGTACCTATTTTGGGCCCACACCATGTAAGGCTTACAGCCCCGCTCCCCGAATCTTTTGGACACATCTGGCGAGCTCCGTGAAGCTTACGCCAGGCGCTCAAGGCGCAGACGCTTCCGCCGCCCATGGCGTGCCCCTTCTCTCCAAGGCGTCCGCTTCCGCTTCCGCCGGGCTCGCCTTTGGCCTCGGGCGACGGGAGGCTCTCAGAACTTCCGTTGCAACACTGCGGAGCTGTCAGTCAAACGATCTAGTTTGAGCTCATGTGGGTTTGCTTTTTGTGATACCACCCCCCCTCCCCCCCAAAGTGGCCAGAAAACGTGTTCCTTTTGGCTTCCCTGAAAGCCCCACTCGCAGGGACGGGAACACCGGGAGCTGCAGCCTGGACCTGCAAGGCCGGGCGCGATCAAGCAGTTTGGAGCGGATGGATTGCCCGGCTTTGTCCGGGATTTGTCCAGTGTTTTTTGTGCGCGTCGTTTTTTTTTGGGAACCACCCGTGTTACAGTTGGATGGGTTTTAAAGGGAAAATAAAAGGAGGCTCTTGTTGTTTTCCGGGGCCCGCTATTTTGGAGCCACAGCCATTTGGGTTTGTCTCACACTAGGGGCCTTTGGTCGGCTTCTTTGGTCGGCTTTTCGTTCCCCAACCTACACCCCAAAAAGGGTAGCCTCGCGGCTCGCTTCTCTCGGTGACGGGTGCCGTCGGCGAAGCCTCGCGCGGCCTGCCAACCGAGGGGAGCTGCGGCAAAGCCCCCTGTTCCGGCCGGTGCGCGGCGAAAGCGAGTCTGCAGCCTCAGCGAGTGCCAAAAAGGAAGCGGATTGAAGCGGAATGGAGCACTCGGACTGGAGAGAAGGCGCTGGGAGAGGAGTTGACACCTCTCTTCTGGAAACCGTTGGGCCAAAGCTGCCGGATGCTCATGGCCGAAGGAGCCCTTCAGAGGCGAGTTTGGAAATCCGAGATGGCACCGAGGTGGGACAAAGACTTCTGATAGATTCCCTCTGCGGGGAGCTCGGAGAGACGGGTGGGACGTACAGGCTGAGCGATTGCAATGCGCATCCGAGAGCTGAAGCACCAGTGAACATCAACCAATCCAACCACTAAAATAGGTTCTAAATGGGTGGTGCACCTGTACCAAAATGGTACCAGTGGTTTTGACCCATACCCATATGATTTGCTGACGATACCGCGAAGCGAGCACTGGATATCAGCAGTCACAGATTGCGGCGAGTTCATGAAGAGATCGCTGGAATTTGTCGTGCCGTGGGATCGTCCCATATGCGGGTGTCCGTTTTTTGGGGTACCTGTTTGGTTGGTGTTGAAACGAAAGCCAAAAGCACACTGAAGCCCACTATATGTAACGTTCCGGGTTTCGCCCAAGTGACATGCAGCTATATGCCAAGCACACTGAGGTTCCTGCGCAGTGCGGTCTGCCCACCTTGTGGCACTGCGGTGCATTCGCACCAGAGAAAAGGTTTGTCAAGGGTTTCCACGGAGATATGCTAGGCGCGCATAGTGTCGAAACTCATGTTGCAGGATGAACTAGGCAGTCAGCTGGCATTCTTCGGTGGAAACGCATCCCGAAGTGCCTGTCCTCAACCGTCCCATCCCTTTGACGTTTTTCGGGAATTGAGGGCGGAAGAGGCAACCTGGTGGGCCGACGGCGTCCGCGGGGGACCGAAGGAGGTTGCAAAGTGTACAGTTCCGATTTTCTCACGGGCTCCTTTTGCACGGGCGCACGGGCGCGGATGTGGGGGATGCGAATGCCGGACGTGGAGAAATGGTTTGTGACTGGTGAATGTGGCATGTTTTGTTTTGGCCGGTTCTGCACGGATGACTTTTTTTGGTACTTGCCTCAAGCACTGGACATTTGGTTCTTGTGAAACCAAACGCAAGACTAGGAAATTGCCATGGGGCCCCACACGCGTTTTGCCACCGGCGGATCCCGTGCGGAGTTTTGGGGCGACGGATCCCGTGCGGAGTCGCCCCGGCTGGCCCATGGGGAGCCAAGTCTCAACTCCATTGCGAGCCCTCCAAATGCCCTGAGGTTGCCGAAGCAAGTCTAAAGCCTGAGCAAACCTGTGTTAGGGTTGACGACTAGCGGGCGTTTGGAGGTAGCTCGTGCCCGTGTGCATGTCATTCGTGAAATGTAAAGACCCGCCCAATCTGTGCAGCATGGGCTTGTTCTGCGTCGCGGAGACCCCGGGCTTGGTGGGCCATTTGGGTCAACCAGCCTGGGAAGCGACGGAACCCGCCACCGGGCGCGGGGAGTTCGTGCCACCCGGGAGTCTGGGTGGCACAAAAACGAGGCCCCAGTGCACCGCGGCTCGCGGATTTCTCAGGCTGCGCGTGGCTGAAAGAGCCTGCGGTGGCATGTGGCCTCCAAGTTGCCAGATCCCGGTCTAGGACTGTCCTTGCTCTCCAAATGGGTATGTCTCAAAATGAGCCCAGAAGCCCGAAATGGTGATATTTCTCTTGGTGTCCCTTTAAGCAAACTGGCACCCTTCGCCTCAAACAAGCGCAAAGCCGGATGGGCGTGTTTGTTTCTCGCAGGTTTTAGGTGGCCTGGATGGGGCTGGGAAGCTTTGTTAGCTTGCATTGTTCCGCGTGCCGGGTGAAACCCGGCGCGCGAGGCTGGTCACTGGCCGCCTTTTCCTTGCCCCTACAAAGGGCAAATAGCAATACCTGCTCACTCAGGGGCGTCTTCTGATCAAACAGAAATTGCTTGTGGGGCCCTTGGGGTGACCCGGGTGGATTCCAACGTTTCCTCGACCTCGATCGCGCAGCCCATGGAGGCGGGAGCTTGCAACTTCCAGGGCAAAGGTGTGTGTTACAATTGCACAATCATAGGTGTCCTTTTTGGGTGAGTTTGGTTAAAAATAGATGGGTTCCACTGGTTTAGATGTGGTTTATTCCATTTACCAGGGCCATCTATTTTGCCAAAAGGCCACCTATGTGCACCATTGCACAATTGCACAATTGAACCCACTTGCACAACTACACAACAAGACAACTACACAACTACACAATTGAACACAGTTACATAATTGAACACAATTAATCAATTACACAACGTGACACAATCAGAGCCTCCCACGACGCACAGCATCACACACAAACACACACCCACACACACACACACACAGACCACAGACCACACACAACACACACGCGCCGCACACGTCACACACGTCACACACGTGACACACGTGACACACGTCACACACGCGCACACACACACACACATATACACACGCACACACACGAACGCGCACACACACCCACACACACACACACACACACACAAAGACACACAAAGACACACCAACGCACACACACCCACACACAAAGACACACAAAGACACACAAAGACACACAAAGACACACAAAGACACACAAAGACACACAAAGACACACAAAGACACACAAAGACACACAAAGACACACAAAGACACACAAAGACACACAAAGACACACAATTACACAGTTACGGTACACAGCTGCTGTACACAGTTAGCCACTTAGATTTTCAGATTTTAAGCCCTCAAGCTTTCATTTCCCTTCATGTTTGTTCGCTCATTTCCACTCAGTTCCTCAGTTCCCTTCATTTCCCTTCACTTTCCCTTCACTTCCCTTCCTGTCCCTTTATTTCCTTTTTTCCCTTCAATTATGTCCTTCTGTTTTCCTTTATTTCACTTCATGCCTTTCTTTCCCCACATTTCCTTTCACCAGCGTGGGCAACATCCCCAGCATCACCTGCATCATCCACATCAATGTTTGCCAATGATGCGGATAATGTAGGTGATGTAACGCACACGCATACAAAACCACATAAACATATGCACACACACACATACATGCGCACGTACAAACACACGCAACACACAAACACGCAAAAACACAAACACGCAAACAGCACGCAACAACACAAACACACAAACACACAAACACACAAACACACAAACACACAAACACACACAAGCGCACAAACACACAAACTCACCAACACAGAAACAAAAGCACCCGAGCACACAAGCACGCAAGCCACACAAGCGCACAGGCACACAAGCACACAAGCGCGCAAGCGTACAAGCGCACAAGCGCACAAGCACCAACACCCAAAGACACAAACACACACACGCACACAGACAAACACACACAGGCACAAACGCAACCACAAACGCTCGCCGCAGCGCAAACACAAACACAGAGCAGACACACACACACACACATACATACATAACTGCGTTCGGAGATCTTGCAAATGTTTGGAAAGAGCTTTCTTTATTTTGGGAAAGAGCTTGATAGGCGCACACACACAATTGCACACAGTTCACAACCCACGTGACAACAACTACGGTCAATTACACGCAGACATGTTTAGACGCACATGCGCAACCAAACCACACAATTACACGATACACACACACACACACCCGCACCTGCACACACACACACATACACTCGCACAGAAACACACACAAACAAACAAACACGCACACACCCGAAGCTCACACACACGCAGAAACACACACACACACACATACAGGAACACACACACACAAAAAACACACACACACAAACACAAACGCACCAACACATACACACACAGGAAAAGACGCAGAAACAGCACACACACACAAAAACACACAAGCACACATACACACACACACATATACACACATACACACTTGCACACATACACGCCTATGCACACATACACATGCACTCACGCAAAACACATACACAAATACACACACACATACACACACACATATTTACAAACATACAACAACACATACACACACGCATACACACACATACAGACACACACGTGCACACATGAATACACATGAGCGCGTACACACATGCACGCATACACAGACACACACACACACAAGACACACACACAGTCACACATGCACACATGCACACACATGAGCGTGTGCACACACGCACACATACAAGCACACAGACACATACAACCACGCAAGCGCACAAACACACAAGCACAGAAGCACGCACGCGCACACACAGATAGATACACACAGACACACACATACACACACATACACACACCTACACACACACATACACACACACACATACACACACATACACACACACATACACACAAATACAAACGCACCCATACACACACACATACACACACATACGCACACATACACACAAATACAAACACACGCATACACACACAAACAACACTTGTAACACACACACACAAACAAAACCACACATACACGTGCACACACACGCACACATGCGCACGTACAAACACACGCAACACACAAACATACAAGCACAGAAACACCAAAAATCACAAACACAAACACACAAACACACAAACGCACAAACGCACAAACGCACGAACAACAGCACACAAGCACACAAGCGCACAAGCACACAAGCCACACAAGCACATAGGCGCACAAGCACAAGCGCACAAGCGCACAATCGCACAAGCACAAACACCCAAAGACACAAACACACACAGACAACCACACAGGCACAAACACAACCACAAACGGTCGCCGCAGCGCAAACACAAACACAGAACAGACACACAAACACTTTCACGCTTACCAACTGCGTTCGGAGATCTTGCAAACGTTTGGAAAGAGCTTGTGTATTTTGGGAAAGAGCTTGATAGGCCCTAAGCCAAAGGTCGCGGAATATGAGGTGCAAGTATGCCATGACCATGATCCACACATGCAACGGTCAAATGGTGATGTGCGGTTGGGGATATGAGACGAGCTTGTTTCTGAGCCGAATGGGATATGGATCATTGCCGGAGCAAACCACGTCACATTACGCCAAATCACGGCTGCAGATGGATGTACTTCAACATTGGCATACATTAGACCCAACTGTATTTCCACAATCGCACGCATTCAGTTTGAAAATCACTCCAGATCACGCCAACCATGCTTAGGCACTTCCCTTTTGTGTTGCCTGGCACCAATGCTCGTTTCCGACAATGGAAAAACTAAATGTGGTACTCTGAGACACACATATAGGCGTATTATATATATATATATATATATGTGTGTGTGCCTACATTTCAATGAACTTTGCTTGAGGCATTTCAAAGAAACTATCAGGGGAAGTGTCGGCATCTCAAGCACTTGCGCTGCAGGCTCCAGTGGCGTGGGGCCCCAGCGAACAGAAGCTGCGTCCTTCGCTTTCGTCGCTTTCGAACGAAAAGAAAAACACCCAAACCCGAAACCCTAAACCCTAACAACCCTAAACCCTCAAAACCCTAAACCCTCAAAACCCTAAACCCTAACTCACCCCACAAAAAAAAAAACAACAACAAGCAAAAACGCGACGCCGTCGCATTCAACGAGCTGCCCGAGGACCGATCCAACTGCGGAGCCGTGGGCTTGGCCGGGTCAGCAGCGCGTGGCGCGCGCGACCTTGGGATCGAAGGAGAAACGGGCGGAAGGTGCACAGCCGATTTGGGAGTCCAGCTGAAAGGTGGAAAGGCGAGTGGTTGCTGAAGCCTTCGAAAGTTGGCAAGGTGCCCTGGTCAAGCGGATGCCTAAGATCGGATTTCCCTGGTTTGATATGTTGCCCTTTGTTTGGAGCTTCTCAAAGATCGCAGGCTGCGAGCTGAGTGGGACAGGCTTGGGCAGCACGTACATCGAATCGGGTGAGCGATTGCACGCATTGAGTCAAGCGCCAACGTGCGATGAAATGCCACATAACCACAAGAGATGCATACAACTTGACCCGCTAGCAGTACAAGACGCAGGTAGAACGTCACTAGTAATTAGTGACTGTGGGCAACGGTGCAAGCGCACCGGAATTACGAGTGGTGCACTGCCTCCAACACGGGAGCGTTGCGCACGCTATGAGTGAGCAGCCGGACGAGGAGGTGGGGGTGGTAGCTGTTGCTTTTAGGCAAGTTGTGCCGGCAGAAGACGCAGGTTTTGTGCCGGTCAGGCATTCACACAGTTTGCTTTGGACACCTGGGTGGGCGCCTACCACAGACAAAACACAACAACATCCATTTTGTGGGGTAAGGGTATTGGCTTGTTGCCTACTCGGAGTTACCAGTCAAGCAACTACCCTACGCTTGCCTGCCAAAGCAACGATAATTGAGCAAGGGAAGTTGTCAGGTGTTGAAGGTGTGTTGACGGATGTTGAAGTTGTGATTTACACAGGTTGAGACAAGAATGTGCAACGAGAGCACGATTTGTTGCTTTACCACTGTCTTACCCTGCTTTTGAGTTATTTTCACGCGTTTTGCTGTCGGCGCATTGCTTGGAAGATATGGGATGGCACGAGCAACAACTGCTATTGCACACCACGTACATCTGTCCATTGCTGAACAACTGAACAAGAACACCGAACAGCTGAAAGCAATTGAAACATCTGAAGCAGCCTACCTCTGGACAGACACGCAGCCTGCGAGAGCTTTATCTTGCAACGCAAACATCTTTCAGTTGCGGACTGAGATGGAAGCTGCAGGTACGTTGGGGAGGGGGGGTACATATTGTATGTATGTATATATATATATAGATGTAGATGCAACGCAATGCGATGGAATATAAATGTAATGAGGTTCTGACTTGACAGCAGAATATGCACACATTCCGTAAATTGAACTCAGTTGACCAAAACTCACCAGTTCTGATCTGAATTTTGGACCATGGCTATATGGATGTGGCTCCTCTTTTTGGTCGACCTCCCCCCCCGAAAAGGTGGGGAAATTTCTTTGGATACTCTTCGCTGGAGACTATAAGGGAACCCCCGCCAACTGGAATCAACCAATCCCAATAATCAATTAATCCGACTAGGGATACCCCGCAACATCTCTAAACCCAAAACCCAAAACCCAAAACCAAACACCCTAAACCCTAACAGCTCTAAAGGAATCCAACCACCGCCTCCAAACCCAAAGCCCTAAACCCCAACAACCCCAACAGCCCCAACAACTCGAAGGCAGCCCCCCCTCCGCCAGGACCTCTTCGGCAGCGAGGACGAGGCGGCCGAGCCGGGCTCGGAGCCGGGCGGAGCGGAGGGCGGCCAAAGCCCGCCGCCGGCGCCGGCGCCGGACTCCGCGAGGCGCGTCTCCGGCACAAAAAGCAAGGGGGCAGGGAGCAAAAGACATTTTTCGGGCAGGCCCCCCCAATGTTTTTTGGGGGGTTTCGTTAAAAGTTTGACCAGATCTTGACACGCAGAGATGAAAAACCCAGTGGCAACGATCTCCAGAGAAAGTGCCGGGGGGGTCGCTTTGACCTCCGGAGACCTGCGAAGGCATGGCTCGGACTCCGCCCAGTTCTCGGGCCCGGCGCAGCCGGATGAGGAGGACCCTGGTGGATTCCGCCCCTTTCCACCGGCAATCCAGATTGGAGGAGGAGGATTCCGGAGGGCTTTTTTTTGTTTGTTAGTTGGGGGTTCCCCTTTAAAAACTCTCCAAAAAGACGCCAATGTTTTGTTTTTTTCCCCTGACCAAGGGGTGCCAAGAACGAAGAGCCGCGGGTTTGTGTTCCTTTGTGTTGACCCCCCCCAAATCGCAGATGTCACATCTCTTGGTGCATGCCGTGCATGTCCAGATGTGACTCTTCCGGGAGGTGATATGCCCAGTTGAATGGGCCGGGATGCATTTCAAGAGATGCCAAAAGTTCCTGTGCTCGTTGAGCAAATCTCTGGTTTCGAACAAACATCAACAGCCAAGCCGGCGGGGGAAGCACAGGCCTGAGATGGACCAATTGCAGTGACTCTGGCACATGAGCAGAAGTTGTGGCTTGTCTACACCCCAACGCCCGAGGGCAAAGGAACGGCTTGAAAGGGCTTGGACGCAAATATGGCAAATGTAATTGCAAGCTCGGGCTTATTCATAGGCAGACATACAAGATACGATCGGATAGGTTGGAATAGGGTAAGATAGGATAAGATAAAGCACGATAGGATGAGAGAGGCAAAGTGGATGCGGATGCGACGCTTTGTTTTCCCGTGACTCACCTAGCGCTCGATGCGGACGGACGCTGCCAAAGCGCCAGGATGTCCTGGGGGACCTCTTCGGCTCCAGCGACGAAGGCCGGACTTCGGGCGACTGGCGAGTTGGGATACGCATGCCTTGCGAACCGGACGGGGTTTTTCTTTAGAGAGGTCCAGAGATTCTCCGAAGTCATCAGATCAAGTGAGATCATGTCATGGTTCTAGGGCCTAGGGCTCAAATCATGAGCCGTCTGGTGACGTTAGCCTCGGATCAATCCACCAATCAGAGGACCTAGATTAGACATCGTTTCCTCAAAAACGACCACCTCCAAAAGCGGTCCCATTGATGAGAGCCCACTCAGAGGTCCTAAAAGTATGATGTCACTCCCAGAAATGCTCAGGGAGCCTATCGAGTTTGGTGGGTCCCTATCAGGGACCCCCTGAAGACCGTAGAGACGTATCCATTTCCTTCCAGGGACCCCCCCAGACGTCCGGAGCGGAGGACCCGGATCCGAGATCAGATCTCCGTCGCGAGGCGAGGGCCTTGGGGAGGACGACCTCTTCGGCTCCGCCGACGAGGCGGAGCCGGAGGCCTCCGCGGAGCAGGCGGCGTGTCGGGTTGAAAACCGCGTGGGGGGTGGTCGGTCTGGGACGGGGCGCACGGGCCTTGGGGACGGGTCTTGGGGACTGGGTCTTCAAAAACAGGTCTTTTTTGGGGGGAAGGGGGGGGAGTTGATCGATTCTACCGGCTGGGCCGGGGGGAGAAATTAAGGGGATGAGCGCAGTTTGGTAGTCTCATATGCGAAGCTCTCCAGGCCGTTGTGGGGTCGTTCGACCAAACGAACCGTTCACATGGCAGCTAGCCCATCCCAGCTATCACTTATCGTAGGTAACCCGCAATTCAATTTTCTTCTTGGTAGACTGAAGGGTGCTTTTTTAGGTTACCTGCGATGCAGGCAAATGGATCCACGGCGTACGGTTGGTACCCGGGAGCGATCGCTCCAGGCGCCCACGTCGGCGCCGCCCCGCAGCGTGTCCGTGCGCTCGGAGATCAGCGAGATGGCGCCGGCCCCAGCGTTCGCGCGGCTGCGCCACATGCCTGCGCCATGCGGCTCGTTTTGGGAGCCAGAGGGGTTCCCCCTCTTTTCTTTTTTTTGGGGGGTGGTACAACAGTAAAGGGAACCAAGCCCCCCTCCCCCAATTTTGACGCATACCCGTATGGGTCAGTCCTCCAAATCTGCGCTTCGGCATCCTTTGGTTTTGAACCAAGTTCGCAAAGGTACTCTCAAAGAAGACAAACCCGAAAATCGTGGGTTCTACTGATATAGCCTTTGTTCGGCACGATTCAGCTGCTTGCAGGGGGACCCTCTTTAATTTGACCTGTTCTCAGACAGTGGTCCAGTCCGAAGTTTCTCTTCGGTAACATCCGGGCATGAAGTTGGGCAACACTTGGTGATTTTGTTGGGATTCGGCAGGGCCTTGAGTTGGGCCAAAGCCGAATGTTTGTTTAGTTGGGGTTGGGCTGTCAGAAATGCCAGTCCACTTCTTGGGATCCTGCAAACACCACGGGTCCCAGATCTGAGGTCTGAGGTCTAGTTGAGAAGGGCCTTAGCATGGTGGTGAGGTAAACCGGTGGAATGAGAAGATATGAAAAGATATGACAGGAGAGGGCTCAGATGTGGCCCTTCAGGGGAAAACGCTTTCTATAGTTCCGGCCCCCAAAAGCAGTCTAACAGCGCACCCCCATTCATGAGTAGGCACTGGGCCTTGACCTTGCAGGATGAGCGAGAGATCTTCGGCGACGTCTCAGACGACGAGCCCGAGAAGGTGCGCTAAAAACTCCCGGATCTAAAGGAGTGGCCAGCGCCCGCGTCACCGCTTTGCGTGTCGGCCAGGAGCTCAGCGTCGACGTGATTGAGCGGCACTTGCCGCTTGGGGTGCGATCCTGAGAGCAAGAACCAGTCGGAGACCCGCGACTTCAATTTTTGAATGCGCGACGGCGGCGACTTTCTTGTTGTTGTGGCTATCAAAAAGCCGCCCTCCTGAGTCCAGGATTTGGTGTCCATGCGCCTTCCGAACGTGATTTCCTTTGATGAGAAGGAATATCGTGGATCGCTCAGACAGGTCCTGGGAGTCGCTGCGTCCGGTCAAGTCACGCGACATTTTTCGACAGCTTGAAGCACAGCAGCGCATTCTGGGTCTGGTTCCTTCTTTTTGGGGAACCCCAAAATTGGTTGGCTGGCGGCAAGCCGAAACGAACCCATTGCATTTTTTGAGCTTTTGTATTTCAAGACACGGCGGTTAGTCCAGGAATGGCTGGGGTCAGAGCTTAGGTGGTCTTGACTCCATCGAGGATGAGATGCTGGAAGGCTACATAGAGCCAGCCTCCCAGACTCGATCCTGACTCGTTGGAGCTTGTCAAGCTCAACGTCGGCTTTGCCTCCAAACCTCTCCAACCGAGCCAACATTTGTGGTAAGTGGAGGGTTGTAGGGGAATTTCCCACCCAGAAATGAGAGTCTATACGTCGCAGCATAAGAAGCAATACATGTAGTGAGGCTACGTGGTGCTCGCACGCATTGTAGCCGCTATGGGGTTCATGTTTGCGCAGACAAATCCCAAAATCGGAACTTTCAGGTCAGGTCACTTCTCAATTGCGTTTGCGATGTTCTTTGACTGCTGTGGGGAAGACTTCTTTGATGCCGGGTTTTGGTTGCGGTAAGATGCCCAGAGAGGGATGGCACATGCCAGCGTTGCGAGGTACAAGAATATGCGGGGCCAGAATGCCTGGGACGCAGATCCGGGGGTGTGTTCTTAAAGGATTTGGACCCTTCAAAATGGCTTTGTTTTCCTTTGGTTTCCCTTTAAACCCTCAAAAAAACGACACCCTTGTCGGAGGAGAGTATTTTTTGGCCGGTTGGACGCGGTTTCTTTTTGTTTCGAGGCGATGCGGCTGCTGAATCCCGAGAATTGCGTCAGATGGCGCTACGAGGAGGAGTGTCTCTTCTGAGGCGTTCGATCCCGTTGAGGGTGTCCCTTTTTTGGTGCAAAAGGATAAACAACATTTTTGGGGTCCTCAAAAACAGAGAGACACCCACATATGATCAGTAACTTCACCCCAAACGATGTTGAATCCGACAGCTAGTACCATGAACGGCAGGACGAGTATGGCAACACTGTCCTGGATGATGGCGGCAAGGGCGTTTACGAGCCGGGCCCTCGTGCAGTCCAATGTCCCCCGCTTGACGAGAAGCATTCTGAGTGTTTCTATCTTTCAGGAGTCGGACAAGCGGTTTTCCTTTTGGCTTCCTTTAGAACAACAGGCCGTCTTTGAAAGGGGACAAGATCTTCGTCGGGAGTCCCACCTTGCCTGCAGGTCAAACACACGCATGGTGGAGTGGGAGGACGGGCCTGGGAACCCAGTGATAGGAGCGCTTGCCAAGTGATCGGGGCCTCATTTCTTCGAGGTTGTGGAGTTCAAAGGGGACACAAGGAAAGCCGCCACTTTGGGGTGTCTCCTACAACAAAAAGACCCACATATGAGCATCGACTCCCATTTGTGTTGGGAACGCCATGTTGGGCTTTATCCGAGGGATCTGTCCGTTTCTTTGAGTTGCTAGCCGTTGTTGTGGTTTCAAAGAGAAGCCAAGAACTTTGAAAAGCACAAGGACGTCTCGAAGATCCACCTCGAACTTTGAAAAGCCGAGGGGAAAAAAAGCAACCGGCAGACAGTCTACGTCCTTTGGCAATCCACTTTGGGGTTCGAAAAAAAAGAAAAAAGAAAAAGAGACACGGATCTCGAGCGGTCTAAGGTCCTGGACTCTCTTCGTGGGCAGCGAGCCCTTTCATGTGGAGCAGATCACCGACAAGTGCGGGGTGGATGGGGTGGGGGTGGATGGTGGGGGGCTGTGTTTGGGAAAGCATGTCAACCGTTGTTTATCGGGTTCAGACGGAACGAACATGAGCAAATCCAGAACAAAAAAAACAGTTTTTCTGGGGGCGGGGGGTTGTGTGCTCAGCACTGCTCTCCTGCCACTTGTCAGGAACCCGATCTTCGAGGAGAACAGCAAGGACGTCTACGTCTGCCACGGCAGCATCGCCCGGAAGCGCAGGCCCCAGTCAGATGCATGGCGCAAGCGCAAGCAAGCCACATCGCGGCTGGGAGATACTCGCCGAATGTGGGTGTGGTTCCTTTCTTTAGGAATCGGACCCCAAAAACAATGGTTTCCTTTTGGTCTCCCGGTTTTTCCATGCAAAGACAACACACCCAATTTGGTTTCCCGCATTGTTCTTTTTCACATTACTCACACCCTTGGTGGTCCTTTTGGTTTCCCTTTGTTTGTTCCGCTCATGTGAAGCAGCAGTCCGTTGATTTCGGAAGGGCCTGGGGACAAGCTTCAGTTGATGAAAGCCCAGGTTGGGCGGCCGAGATGGAGATCAAATTTTTGGGTGTCTGTCTACAAAATGTCATGGAGCTCTTAAGATTCGGTTCGCCTCAGCTTCCATGGTTAAAAATTTCCACGGCCGGGCCGGAAGCTCCAGCTCTCCGAGGTTCATCGCCACCCCGCGGTCCATGGACTCCACGTCCCACGAGATGCCGTGGCTCTCGGTTTCGGATGGGATCGGTTGACGGGCGAGTCTGAGGCAACCCGCTTTGGTCCGGGCCAGTCCTTTGAAATGATCTTCATTGGTTGGGGCGGATGAATCTAGACGAAACCGGGGCGACATTGGTTTCCGATTTGGTGCCAGGTTTTGATTCCGCGGCTCGCTTCCTTTGCAGCCTCCCTATAACCATGTGTTTCTTATGTCCCGTTTTGTGGGTATCTATGGACGACCGCATACTCCGGAGGCCAAGTTGCACTTCGCCCGAGGTTGAAGAAGTCGCAGTATCGGAAGTATGAGCCGGTGCGGCGATCGCTGCTCATGACGGCCCGTCACTCAGCTCTGCTGCGCTGAGAAAATTCGCCACGCGGCCGCTCAGGAAGCAGACTCCTTAGAAGCCAGGCAAGGACGGCATGCATTTGGATTCGGGAGGGCAACTGATTCGCAATCTGGGTAGAACAGTATGAGAACAGGAAGTTTATCCATCTGGGCCTTGGATGTTCTGGTCCTTTCCCCTTGACCCATCCCCCCCCACGGGGGATTTCCACCCGTGACGTAACGCCCGCTGCTTTGGCCTACAGAAAGCCGCAGGCAAGTCCTGGACATGGAGCGGGAGACGCGCAAGACGCGGGAGAAGCCAAAGGCTCAGAGTTTGCCGCGAGTTGGGAAGGAGCGCCTCGTTTGGGGCGCTGGGTGTTTCTGGGGAAACTCGGGCGGAACTCTTCCCCCCCTCCAACTCCGGGGCTGCGGCGCCCGATTTGGAGGAGTGTCTGAAATAAGCGGCTTGCTCTCTGCGGTGGTCTTGGAACCGATCCGAGGCGGCCGGCAGATGGCCCAGCCATGACTGCGAGGAAGCCCAGTGGGGGTGGAGTGGCAAGCAGCCAAGCCATTGCGCTTGCAACGTGTCTGTTTTAGGGGACCTCAAGAATTTGCTGCTTTTGTTTTGGTTGGGATTTAAGCCTATACCTAGAAAGGCTACCCTGAAAAAGAACACACATCCATTCCACACCTCTTCACATTCTCAGATGGATCTGATTGTCTCGGCTGAAGGCCGGTTTCCTCGAAGATGCCCGGGGCCTCGGTTTCGAGATGCCGTAGCTTCTCACTGCCAGCGCCAAAGGTTCGTTCCCCGCCACGATGTCCAGAGCACCGAAACGTGCTTTTGGGAACTTGGGGCACTCTGTCGGACCACCGCGGACCATTAGCATCCGAGGATGCTTTTGCCGACGGGCCGAGCGCGACAGACATCAAGAAGCGCGGGCCACAGCGCGAAGAATTTTAAGTGGAACCTAAGTGGTGGGCGGTGGGTGGACCTGTTATCATGTAAACCAGATCCCTGGAACCCACTGGACCGTTCCGTTAAAGGAAAAGTCGGCCATTTCCGGACCCGCCATGAGATCATCGTGGGAAGCTCACTGAGGCAGTACCTGGGGCGTCCTGCCAGGGGGCCCCAGCTCGGGCTTCAGGCTCGGTTTTGCGCCGCAGAACCCACGGAGACCGTCGCAACGGAGACCGTCACGAAATCCGCGTTGAGCCACGAAAAAGCCTCGATCCGAAATTGTTGGGTAGGCCTTCCTTTCAGGAAGAACAAATCTGGCAGACCATGCCACAGATCGCAGACCGTGAATGGGTATCGGCACAGACTTGTTGCATCTTGTTGGCAAGGGCTTAAGGTACGCGTCCTCACGTTTGCGCGTCTTTGAATCTCAGGGTGCGGGATCCGCTAGGACACAACTCCAGAGATGTGGCGCGATTTGGTAGGAAACCAACCAGGAGTTCGACATCGCAACTTGGGACCCCTTGTTCTCCCTTGCGCGTGGTGTTAAAGGGAAGCAAAAGGAGACAAACAACACTTGGCGGGCCCCCTAAAAAGGACACACCCCTATCAGCCTCTTGTCCAACCGCTGGTTTGATCAACACCCAATTTCCAGGGTCCGATTCTGTGTCCGATCCCTTCCCAGGCGAAGCGGCCGAAGAGTGAATCGCCGTCGGCCTCGGCTTCGAAGTGATGCCCCTCGAAAAAAAAAAGGGGGCCGCAGGGGCCGCAGGCTGCGCGCTTTGTGCGCGTTTCGCGTTTCGCGTTTGCCTGGCGCATGTGGCTCGGTTCCGTTTTTGGAGTGCTGGTACCATTTTTGTGCGGTGTTTTTAAGAGAAGCCCAAAGGGATTTCTGGCCATGGGTGTCCGATTCTCAACAAAAGCCACCCATTTGTTGGTTAGAGGAAGCGACTGCCATTTTTTTTACTTCTAGGCTCTTGAAGAATCATCAAGTGTGCGCATCTTGGCTCCAGGGACGCAAGGCTCCATGGTTTCTCGATCACCTCATAGAACATAGGACGCATAGCCCATGTGCTCCGCGAGTCCTTTTTGCCTTTCGTTCAGCGGGGCTTGTGGATTGAGCTGAGCGGGCGCCCGAGCGGGCGTGCCATGGGTGCGCTGTTAGCCGGAACGGGCGCCCAGAGAGGTGAGCCAAGACCGGAGGAAACGCCTGGACCGTTCATTGCCATTTCCTTTGCGTGTCGTTTTGAGACTCAAACGTGCCCTTTTTCGCGGGTTTTGAAAGGGACACCGTGCAGCCCGCCACTTTAAGGGCGTCCAAGTCCCCCCACACCGTGCCGCGCCCGCTAAAGCGCCCGAGGCCCGGCGACTCAAAAGGACTCCGGCGACGGCAGGCGCGCGGCTCGCTTCGCCGCGGCCCGCTTCGGCGCGGCGCGGCTCGGTTCGGCGAGGTCGTTGAGCAATGGCCTGGAGTGGGGCTACAGCGCCATGCAGGGCTGGCGGCGCCGGCCCGGCTTGCCGCAAAAAACTGGGAGAGAGGCGGAGCCCCCGGAGGTCCAAGAGATATACGTGTATATGTTCTTTATATACACAATATACATATGTATGTGTATATATATATATATATATATATATGTGTTTCTCAAATAACGCCCCCCCCCCCCCCCCCAACAATGTGTTGTTTCCTTTCGTTTTGGTGTTCAGGTTTAAAAGAGGGGTCCATTGTTAAAAAAAGGTGTCTCCCATTTTGAGGCCCCCCCCCCGGCCCCGCAATAAACCTCCGAGGGGAGAGGAGCCAAGCAAGGCCCTCGGAATGGTACAGCAATGATGTCTTTGCAGTGCGCCAAGACGAGTCTGATCGGGATATGACCTTGATTCGGTCACATCACAAGACGAAAAACAGCTTGGAAGAATGGGGCCTCCTCTGCTCCTTTCTGCGCCTTTCTGCCGCTCAGCAACTTTGGCCCGTCAGTGTTGTTTCACATGCGTCTTCTTGGGACCGGGGGGCATCTCACATCTTGTAGCTGGCCAGGCGAGACCGAATGGAAGATGCCCACCTTGCGGAGTGCTGAGCCGTTGGTTTCTGGCTCGTTTTGTTCTTTCCTGGTGAGCTTCTTTTTGGCCCGTTTTTTGTCTTGTTGTTTTTTCCTGGGCCGGGTTTTGGGCCGTCGTTCTTGGGCCCGGCGCTTCTCTCGCCTTTTCCGCCTCGCCGGTGCGGCGAACTCCAAAGCCAAGGCCATCGGCTCCCTGAGCTCCACCTTCAGCTGGCAGGAGACCTCCTTCTTCGCCGTCATGGCCGGGGACTCGAAACGGGACTCGAAACGGGACTCGAAACGGGCCTCGAAACGGGCCTCGAAACGGGCCCGAAACGACGAGTCCAAGGGGGTGGGTTGGCTGAAATTGTGGGAGGCTGATCCACGGGTTTTGGTGACCCCGAGGTAGAGTCTTACAGCCCAGGCGTGGAAAGGGGGGGGTTCCCTTTAGATGTTGAGTGGGGGTTCCACTTTTGGTGAGGTAGAGTCTGACCCCCCCCCCCAGAATCGTGTTTTTTTTTGGACATGATGAAACCCCTGGGTTTAGGTGGTCTATTTTGGGTCAAAAAGTGGAACCCTGGGTGGGTGATGCTCAGGTCTTTCTTTTCTTGTTTTTTTTGGGGGTACCTCTTTTTGGTTTGAAGGGGAATCCAAAGGCAACCTGTTTGCAGAGTTCTGATTCCTATGAGACAACACCCAGACGGAACGCAGATCTAGCTCAGGATGGGCATGGCGGCGAGCATGTGGCGCAGCAGGGGCTCCAAAGATGGATGTGTTTTGAGTTGGGGGTTTGAAGTTAGGGACGCCAAAAGGATAATGACCACGTTGCGGGGTTTTTAAGCTTCGAAAAGACACTGTCCAAGCTTAAAGACACCAGATGGATAGCCCAGAGGCCCAGAAAGTCGCTCGTGCAATGCGCTGCGTCTCTCAGGTTCTGCCGACACCACCTACCCTCCGAGCTGATGCAGTACAGAGGGCAGGACTCGCGGCTCGCGAGTCGATCTTGAACAGGGAACCAAGATCTTCACCCTCTCCACCCTTCTGAATATTGTGGACGGTGTATGGTTTTTACGTAGATCCCAGAATTCTAGGCTGTTGGTGTTTGCATCCTGGAAATTCGGCATGAGCACCTACATCCAAGAACATGATGGATGGACGATTCATTCCCTTTCCCCCAAAGCTCACCCATTAAAAGAAGAGTTGACCCAACTTGGATGAAGCTCTTTAGGCAGATGTTGGTGACTTTTTTTTTCCCAAGATGTGCGGGCGAGTATCGATGGACTCCATCGATCGCAGGACCTCGGCGATGCGCTGGTGCGGGCCTTCCACCGCATGGCGGGGAGGCCCATGCAGACTTCCGTCACCCGGGCAGCTCGGAGGGCGGGGAAATGGGGGGCATGGGGCTGTGTCAGGGGGTTGGGGGCTGGTTGCTTGGTGGAGGGTGCGGCATGTGAGTGTTTTTACGCATCACCAGAGATGTTCAGAACAGGACATCAACAAAGCGAGTTCGGCAGGGGGCATATGTTTTTGCGGGTCGGGGGCCCGAAACGATCCACCCCCATTGATCTCGCAGAATACGCCACAGACCCATCCAGATTCACCTCCGCCCCGCGCGTTCCGGGCGCGGTTTTCGGAGCGACCGCGCAAACTCATATTGCAGAATACAACGCCCAGATTCACCTCTGGCCCGCGTAGGGCGCGGGGCTTGGCGGTGTTACACTCAGACTAACAGCCGGAAGCTCCCAGAACGCCTCTGTAAAATGGAACCGTTCCGTTTTTCTTAAGGGCTCCGCTCGGGAGCTTGCGGCTGTTCGCCCGGCTTTCGCTTGGGCCGGTTCGCCTGCCGCGGCTTTAGGACGAGCGGCTGCTGGAGACGTCTCCCGAGGAGCTCAAGTCCATGGGCCACGGCGCGCGGAGCCCCGGCGTCCGGGCGACGGCGCGTGTGGCTCGAAGTTCTCTGGAGACGGCCAGGAGAAGCTTTAGTTCAGGAAGTTGAACGCTAAAGCAGGACCATTTTTTATTTTTTATTTTATTTTTATACCTTCTTCGGTATATGGAAAGGAGGACGTTTTTGATATGTTCCGTTTACTTTGGAGGGCGTATGTTCGATTGGCAGGGAAGGGGACACGGAATGAGCCCGAGCAAAATCATGCCCTGGGTTCTTCTTTTAATGGGAATCCCCCGAAAGCGGTTCATTCCCAGCCGCTCTCTCCCCTCCCCAGCTCCGCGAGCTTCGAGTTTGTGCCCGGAGCAAACCCAAGCCGCCGCCGTGGCCGATGGATCGATCCGACTTGGTAGGCCTTCAAGAACTGGGCGAATCCGGACCTCATGGGCTGCACCGCCGCACCTCGGCCAGCGGAAGCCAAAAGCCAAAGCGGCTGGGGCTTGGGGGTTGGGGGGGTTGGGGGGTTGGGTTTTGGGGTTTTGGGGTTTTGGGGGTTTTGGGGCTGCTGGGGTTTTGGCCGCAATCCCTTTGACTGGTTGAACTTTCCTCAAAAGCTGATGGACATACATCCCCGCCTGAATGTGATGTCCATTTTTAGGGGGTCCTTGTTGAAATTTCACAGATCAACCGATTTGCTTACCGCACTAGAGGCCCCGAGCTTTTCTCTTGCGGTCCCACAAGTTTTGGTCATCTCAGTTGGAATACGCCAAAACCAACAAGTCTGCACAGCCGGCAAGGCCGGGGGGGCGGGAGGGGGGGGGAAACGGTTTTTCCCGCCTTTGTTCAATCGAGAAGAAACAATGCAATCACCGTGCCGCGAGGTGGCCGCGGTGGTGCGGCCGGAGGTGATCGTAGTGGCCAACGCCGGGGACAGCCGAGCTGTCGGGCGCCGAACGCGGCGTTCGGCTTTCCAGCAGTCTACCCCTGGAGACCGCCCACAAGGGCGTGGTTCTGTCTTGTGATTCTGTTCTGTTAGCCACCCGGATGAGTCTTTTTGTTCCCTAGTTGGTCGGTTGGTTGAGGGCCCTGTTTTTGTTTTCCTCGGCTGGCTTTTTCCTAGAGCTGGTTTTTGGGCAACATCCCCAGCATCACCTGAACCAAGGCCACCCAACAGCAGCCTGGATGTCACCTTTTGCTGAGCCTTTCAAGAACCCCAACCAGACACACCCAAGACCCACGCTCAGTAAGATCTCAGCCAACCCCGCCCCCCCAAATGCTACCCAGACCGGTGACGATGGGGATGCAAAAAAACCAGCGCCAGGCAAAACACAACACCTCTACCTCGGGTACCCTTTTTGGTTGGAACCAACAGGAAACCGAAATGCATTTGGGGGGGGGCAAGCCAGCATCGTCCAAACTTTTAGAGTTCTTTCTTTGTTTCCGGTGGTTTCCTTCCACCGCCTTCGAAGGAGTCTCTGAGTCACCATCATAATCGAGTCAGCATCATATTGCCTCTAACAGTGCGTGCAACGGACTCGGCACGGCATTCCTTCCTCTTAAATCCAACAGTCCTAGTCGCCTTTTTTTTGGTTTAAGCAGCAAAGCCGCGCCGGAGCCGTCTGAGACCGCGCACGCGGTCTCGGGATGAGGTCCTGTGCAGAGGTGGCAAAGCCATCGACATGCCCGGCGCTCGGCTTGAGAGGTCAAATCGGCGAAAGAGGCTGGGCACCTCGGAAGAGAAATTCACGGCCCCGATCTCCTTCAACAAAAAGAGAGGGCTCCCTTTCTTTGAACCTTCCAAACAAAAACAGCACCCACCCTCCAAGTCCGCCTTTCGGCCCTTTTTCGGGTTCCCCCTCCCCCCCCCAAACAAAAAAAGAGAAAAGAACAACACGTAGAAAGAGAAAGAACCACCCTGCTGAGCGCCGGCGGAGTCTATTTTTTCTCCGGGGTTTCTCGGAGCCCGGGGCTCGGAGTTTTTCTTTTCGAGGTCCGAGGACCACAAGCCCAACAACCCCGTGGAGCTGCAGAGGATCCTCAAGGCGACGAGCTCCGCGGGGCTTCGCGCGGGGCTCCGCGGGGAAGATGGGGCGGAGGGTGGGCGCTGTGCTGTTTTTGCTTTCCGGCGGCGAAGCTAGAAACCAGGAAACTTCCCCAAAAAAACCGTAGAGCGAGGACAAACGCAGAGTCTTTTTTAGGAAAGAGGAGGGTTCGCAACGGCATTCGAGTCTGGGCACAAACCTGAATGTGGGCGTGTCCAATAGAATCCCTCCCTGCTCTGGTCACCTGCCCGAGCTTCGGCATAACGGAAGCTCCCAAATATGAGGCGTGCCAAGCGGGGCACGATGCCACAGAGAACGGGGCTGCAAAAGCACCTTCCGTTTGCCAAACGGGTTTAGGGATTTTTCGGCAAGGTCACCGTGACTTGGGTCGCCAGGAATTGTGAAGATGATCTTGTGCGAATTGAGCGGCATCACTGAACCTGTCAGAGTAAGCCTATCTTCAAGTTTCCTGACACATGCGCGACAGACACCAAACATTGGGAGCACCCTCCAAGATTACAAGTCAGCGCGTTCACTTTGTCCGGCAAGCGCACTCCATCACCGCTTGAATGCCCACAATCTACAGTCTACTCTTCCTTCAAAAGGCGTTTCCCACGTGGGATGGAGCTTTCGACCAAGCTTCTTGAAACCGGTACGGAGGTCACATGCGGTGCAACAGGGCATGCATTTGGGCGTTGTTTCGCACGCATGTTTTTCGAGCAGACCTGACCAAATCATTCCGCAGCCAGTTGGGCACGGCTAGGGACGGTCTTCTCTTGCCATGCTGTGGCCAGAGCATCGTGTGAGCCGAGTTCAGTTTTTCAGTCTCCTTTCGTGAGGTTTTCTTTTGGACCCCGTTCCAACCAGCAAGCCTTGGGAATGTCGCCGTTCCTTTTCCATTCGATTTGAAACCAGCCTTCAGTTTTCCTGAATCCTTTGCCGAGGGCATGCCGAATAGCGCCTATCCAAATTTGAGATAGCCTCAACCAGAGTTTTTCGAGCCATGGACCCCTTGTTGGAGCCTCCAAAGGTATGCACCGTCAACTTTTGAGGGGCCATCCAGTGTCAGCTGGAATCAAGCCACTTTTTGGAATTGGGGAAGCTGCCCGCGGCTTGACCTTCCTGTTTCCAGAGCCGCCCATGTCGTCCCCTTTGGATTGCCGCGTACGTGAATCAAGCTTTTAACTCTTATCCCTTTGCCAGGATCCGCATTGTACCAGTTGACTTGAACACAGATTCAGAGGCCCCAAGCTCGCTATGGCCACAGCATGTTGTTCGGACTCCAATGCAGAGCCGGACGCTCTAGGCGCGAATGAACTTGTGAAGTTCTTCACATTCCTGAACCCCGTAGAGACTTTGGGGCATGTACAGGATGGATCGCGCGATGTGGCGCACGCGAGTTTTGAAGAGGAGGTGATCCAGGTAACTCCCGGCACATCATCCGCTTCCACACCCGATCTGTCCGGATGCTGCAACGGGAGCGGAGCCGTGCTGAACAGCTCCAAGACTGCGGGCATGATTCAACAGCAGCGCCTCAGCCTGAACAGGGCTCCTTAAAAGGTACAGTTTGCCCATTTGAAACATATGGCTTTTTCCACCAAAATAAAGGGAAACCACCATTTACAAGGCAATGTTCGGGTGTATAATGTAAGGATCCCTGCTGAATCAGCTTTTGCCCGCCTTTACGCGTGTCACCTTTGTCAGGTCGTTTCCCATTGACCAGCTTGTCTTCGCTTAGGTACAAGGTCAAGAAGCAAGCAAGCGTGAGGCTGCTTCGCTTCCTTGAGGCGAACGGCTTCAAGCACCCTCATGTGCATTGCAAGAAGACGAAGCATTTCGGTTTCAAGTACACCTACCCGCTGCATGAGGCTGCCAAGCAAAACAGCCAGGACATCGTTCGTTGGCTGCTTCGCTTCGGAGCTGACCCACGAAACAGGGATTCCTCGGGTCAAACTGCGCTGGACCACATCAAGCAGTTGCCATCTCATGATGAAGTTCGTCGCCTCTTGGAGGCAACCAATAAGAGATGGCAGTTGCGTGGATTTGGCCAGTTTTTTGCAGAGCTTAAGCGGGTGGATCCGCTGGCAAGCGGCTGAGCAGGCACCATTTGCTGGGTCACCAAGCGAACACATGTCACAAATTAAAATGACTCATTTCGAGTTCATGTGGCTGCCAACAGCCAGGACGTCATTTGTTGGCTTGGCTTCGCAACTGACCCACGAAGAACGGAATCCACTGGTCAAACTGCACTGGACCACATCAAGCAATTGCCATCTCATGATGAGGTTTGTTGCCTCTTGGAGGCAACGGCAGTTGCGTGGATTTGGCCAGTTTTTTGCAGAGCTTGAGCGGGTGGATCCGTTGGCAAGCGGCTGAGCAGGCACCATTTGCTGGGTCACCAAGCGAACATGTCACAAATTAAAATGACTCATTTCGAGTTCATGTGGCTGCCAACAGCCAGGACGTCATTTGTTGGCTTGGCTTCGCAACTGACCCACGAAGAACGGAATCCACTGGTCAAACTGCACTGGACCACATCAAGCAATTGCCATCTCATGATGAGGTTTGTTGCCTCTTGGAGGCAACGGCAGTTGCGTGGATTTGGCCAGTTTTTTGCAGAGCTTGAGCGGGTGGATCCGTTGGCAAGCGGCTGAGCAGGCACCATTTGCTGGGTCACCAAGCGAACATGTCACAAATTAAAATGACTCATTTCGAGTTCATGTGGCTGCCAACAGCCAGGACATCATTTGTTGGCTTGGCTTCGCAACTGACCCACGAAGAACGGACTCCACTGGTTAAACTGCACTGAAGCAATTGCCATCTCACGATGAGGTTCATTGCCTCTTGGAGCAACCAACAAGAGATGGCAATTGCGTGGATTCGGTCAGTTTTTTTCTCAGAGCTTGAGCGGGTCTGAGCCGAACCATTTGTGCACCCGTTAGATCTATGGGCCACCGTTCGTTGGGTCGCCAATCGAATGCATGACTCAAACGATAGAAGAATTATTCCGACTGCATGAGGCTGCCAAACAAGCGGCCAGGACATCATTTGTTGGCTTCGCTTCGCAGCTGACCCCGCAAAAAGCGTATTCGGGTCAACCTGCGCTGGACCACATCTCGCAGTCGCCGTCTCGCTAGGCAGGCAATTCCCAGAGTTGGGGGCTGCGTCGATTTGGCCTCTTTTTTTTTGCGGAGCTTCAGCGGATCTATCCGTTGGCACAAAATAGAAGAGCCGCAGGTTATTGTCTTTGTTTCCTTCCAAGGGGCCACCAGTTGTTTCAAGCCACAGCCAAATAGCTTTTTGGACGAATCGCAAGGGCAGTGGTGGTCGAAGGCACGACTTCGGGTCTCTTCGAAAGTCAAATGGGCTCAGCCCACGCGAACATACCAAATGCATGGTGCTGGCCCAACTTTGAAACGAGCTGTTTAAGGCAGAGCTCTGCATGCTTCTCGATGTTTGCGTTGGACCTGGCTTGCTCCCCCAACTGCTTCATTTCTCTAAGAGCTCTCTGCCCAAGCCGTCTGCACGCTTCAAGTTTCCGCTGGCAAGGCCACACTTGAGGTTCGAGCTGAACTTCGAGTGAATACCTGACAATTTTTCGCTTGAAATGCATGAATGCAATCACGAGCCCAGTTCCATCCAATGAGTGCAATGATGCTTTTGCAAATCTGTCAGTGAAGGGTGAGCTTGGCGAGTGGCTCTTTCGTGTATTCTGGCCAGATTCCACTTGAGTCTGAGGAAAAAAGGAGAATCGTATCACACGGAACCCTGCCTGACTTGATAAGTTTCAGCAGACTCGCCACTGATTCCGAAGGCTTGCCTTGCTGAGACCACGATTTTGGCGTTGTTCAATCATTGTGCATCCAAGCACATGCATATACAAACACATGTGTTTAGCAATAATTTATATGTATAATCCGCCGACCCTCTGCCTCCCGTCCCAGCCTCCTGCAGTGGGATGCAACTGGAAGTGATTGGAATCCATGATGGTCCCCCGAAAGCACAAAAAGTAGATTCCCGGGACCGGTCCCGGGACCGGTCCTGGCCCGGCCAGGACCGCTTTCAGGACTGGTCCAAGCCGGTCCCGGGATCGAGTCCTGGCGTGACCGCTGGTATCGGATCCCACTTCAAACCGCTGCAGATATGAAACCGCTCCAGACACCTGTTTCCTCCAATGTCGCTGTTTCCGGACTGGCACCCGTGTTTCAGGACTGGACAGGGTCCCATTTCCCAGTCACTCCCTGCGACCGGTTGAGGGGCACCGACGGCTTGGGCACAAACCGGCCCGTGCGGTCATTGACGGACGAGCTGCCATCTGTCTGACTTTTCCGTTAATCCTTGTGGTAGTAGAGGATCCCTGGATCTATTCTGCAAGAGAGTCCAATACGTCGAGTCAAACCGCGCCAGACTGGGACCAGCCTGGACAGGGTCCCAAGTCCCGGTCCCTGCCAGCAACCGGTCCAGGGCAACTGTCTTCAGGGCAGTTTCTGCCATATTTCTGACTTTTCCGTTAATCCTTGTTTGTGGTCGTAGAGGATCTTATGAGTGGTCCCTGGGTTTGCGGACTTGTTTCAGGACCGGTCCTTGTGACTTTTCCAGTAATGCGCCGAGGGTCGGCGGCAGCAGGCGGGAGCCTGGTTATCCGGCTACGCATGTCGCCGCTAGGCAATTAGCCTGCTAGCTTTAGCTATAGGGGCTGCACCCTGGTGCCGCCGACCCTCACCACTTGGTCGTGATGCGCGGCCTAAATCCGGCACCTCTGCATCACCAGCTCGGGCTTGCGGTTTTGCTCGACTGTGGGAAACCCTCGCGAAACATCGCGTATATGCAGGGTTTAGGCCATGTGGCTGATATCGTCAGGGTCTGGGGTTGGGCCTGGGTGATTTGGTCTGCATCATCAAGACTTCCTTCCAAAAAGCATCTCCGCCCAAAAAGCACTGTTTTTAAGTAGGTGTCGGAGGGGTATAAGCGAGGCTCATTTCTGCGCATTTTGGCGCCAAGCGCTGCCGGGCATGCCGGCGATGCTGGGTCCTCGCTCTACAAAACGCTGTAAATACCGCCAAAAACTGCTGTGCTGAGCGTTGGGCTGTTGTTCTGTCCGTTTTGCTTTTGCTGTGGCTGGCTCGCGTGCTGCGCGGTCCTTGCTTTTTTCGCGTTGGTTTTCGGGCCTTCTGGCGCGCGCGCGCGCCACAACACGCTGCTATTTACAGTATTTTGTTGCATTTGCGTTTCCGGCTGGCTTGCGGGCTGCTTTTTTTGGGTCCTCTGGCGCGCCCGCGCGCGCGCGCGACCCCATGTCAGCCTTCTGGGTTGGGGCCCGGATGGGGCCCAGAAAGCCGGGGATGCTGGGTAACCTAACCAGCCATATCATAGCACACGCTACGTTTCTCATGCAAAAACCATGACATGACATGGTATAACTTCAAAGAGGCGTAGCCGGCTAGAGGCCGCAGGCCCAGAAAATATATGTATGCGCAGGTGTGCATGACTACATATAGATGCACAGTTGCTCTCTTTGACCATTGCTTCGTCAATTCTAAGTGCCGTATGCATGTGAGATGTCATCTGCAGTTCATTAACCTGGTGCATGCGTGTTATGTATGTCCTGTACATGTCATGTGCACAAACACCACATATATGTATATATGCAGACAATATCCAGAAGGTGTGCCTTCGATCGGCTCCCTGCCCCGTCCTCTCAACCTGCAGCATTTCCAGCCCCCCAGTGCCACGTAAAGGTGGTGGTGCTTGTGGTGGTTGAGGTGGTTGTTTCCGGAGGGGAGCCCCTCCCAGGCGCTCCTGACACACACTAACTTTTCATGGCATGCCGTATACGTGACGTTCAACAATGACATTTACACGAGAGTCGTATAGTGTATATATACAACGTGTTTACAATATACCATGTACACAACATGTGCATAACATGTTTGTAACATGCTGCAATGCTCTCTCTTTTTTCTCTCTTTGTCTCTCTCTCTCTCTCTCTCTCTCTCTCTCTCTCTCTCTCTCTCTCTCTCTCTCTCTCTCTCGATATATATATATATATATATGCTGCCCCCCTGGAAATAGTCAGGTTTTTGGCCAGAACTGAGGTGTTGGGCCAGACTGGGGGTGACAAATGCCTTGAGACTCTGACATGAACTGACTGGACGCTCAACTCCATGCAAATTCTAACCAAGCAGAAGTTAAGCTCAACATTGAATAGGAGTTGCGAGTTGTGTGACTGTCACATTGGCGTGCGCGAAGTGCACATAAAGTCACATTGGAGTATGCAAAGTGCACTTTGGCAGATCCAGCTGAAAAAACACAACTGTCCAGTACAAGAGTGGTGTGCGAAGTATGTTTTGGCAGCTTCAACGCGCCTGTAGCAGCTCTACTATTTTGTGGCGAAATTCAGCAAATCATCGACTTGGGGAAAGGGAACTCAGTCCTACTTCATGCCCTTGCGCAGTTGCATTTGCGTGTTAGCTCAAGTGTTGTGCATATTTCATGCACATGCTAGTTCAGTCTATTTCAAACATATGTTGCAACGCAACTATCCCATGTGTGTGTTGCTTGTCTAAGTTGGTTGAATCATCGCCAGCAACAACTATTGAAATTCAAGTAAGGGAAGGACATCCAGCGTAAAACGCTTTCGAGTTCAAACCAAATTCAAGTTTACTCGTTTGCGGTTTCTTGTGCATTTCAAAAATCAACTGGAGACGATAGCTATTGTCATGGCCAAACGAATTTGGAATCAAGCTCAATTTTGAAAGGGCTCCTGGAATGCACGAAGTGCCGATGCTAGATTTTACGTCCAAAAAGGAGTGCATTTTTAGAGCCTCATTTTAGAAGCTTGAACGTGTGTTTTGCATGCAGTTTTTCAGCCAGAACGCCAATTTCTGGCAAACCACCTGAGTATTCCGGGGGGGGGGTTCCAAATATATACATATATATATATAAAAGAACATACCCTGTAGACACTATGCATGCATATGCGTCCGCATTGTTGCATAGGGTCTCAGTCTGGTTGCATCACAAGGGAGCCTGACAGAAGATCCGATTGTGCTAGGCCATGGTGCGGAA